AAGACGATTTTTGGCTCGCTGCGTCAGCGGTGGACATAGGAAAAAATCGATTTTGAGTTTTTTGCATAAAAATGACCGTCGATATGTGCTAAGGAAAAGCGAACAACAGTTTTTCTTAATTCTGCCCGGAAGGCATAAATTTGCTTAAATTTGTCTTTTTTGGAATTTTCGATCTGGCGACGTCATAGAAAGAGCAAATCACCCAAAATTTTGCTTGTATACGTTTTCGACCATTGGGAATTCATTTTTTTGAAAATTAAGTCTCTCAGATTACTGTAACATAGGCATATTGTAATCCGGTCGACAAAAATCGACCGTAACTCCTTCGTATCAAAAATCCCACAGGATTTTATTTCAGATTCGGAATCAGCATAAAATTCTGCATATTATACACATAATGTGAGGTCATAACTCCAGGGGGGAGATCGCGTAGTATATTGGATTTTGGCAAAAAGTACGTTTGAAAGGTCGCGGGTTCGATCCCCGCTTGGTGCAAATATTGAAAACACGGCGGAACTCGCGTTTAATGGACACCTAAGGGTTACATGAGATACACTAAGCAATTTTAAACATTAATGGATATCTAATTGCGATTAAAACTGATTTTATATAATTTTTGGAGACTGAATATGCAAAAAATGAAACTGCTTCAAACCGCTTGAAATTGGCAACACTTATTCTAGGGTCAATTTTAAGAAACTTTTCCGTTAACTTTTTTTGGTAGATCACCGTACCATGGATTACTGCAACATTAAACCTGATTTGGTTTTTCGTGTACCACATGGCGCATAGAAGTCGGATTGTCATCATTGTGCTCAGAATGGTTAAGAAAGGGTTTTCTTGTGTACAAAAAAATTTTTATGGCTGTACCGTTTGGAATGGCCGAGTTATTTGACGCACTTTCACCAATTGATTATGACATCAAGACGCGTTGCAATAAAGGTCGAATTTTCTTTCATATATAGAAAGTGGATCTTTTCGCTGTCTAAAACGACTAGTTAAAACGATTTAATATTTTATGCAAGCATTTTGAAGAAAATTGCAGTTAATCAGGACACGTTTAATGCTACAGTAATCCATGGTACGGTGCTCTGCCAAAAAAAGTTAACACAAAAGTTTCTTACAATTGACCCTAGAATAAGTGTTGCCAGTTTCAAGCGGTTTGAAGCAATTTCATTTTTTGCATATTCAGTCTCCAAAAATTGTATAATATCAGTTTTAATCACAATTAGATATGCATTAATGTTTAAAATTGCTTAGTGTATCTCATATAACCCTTAGGTGTCCATTAAACGCGAGTTCCGCCGTGTTTTCAATATTTGCACCAAGCGGGGATCGAACCCGCGACCTTTCAAACGTAATTTTTGCCAAAATCCAATATACTACGCGATCTCCCCCCTGGAGTTATGACCTCACATTATGTGTATAATATGCAGAATTTTATGCTGATTCCGAATCTGAAATAAAATCCTGTGGGATTTTTGATACGAAGGAGTTACGGTCGATTTTTGTCGACCGGATTACAATATGCCTATGTTACAGTAATCTGAGAGACTTAATTTTCAAAAAAATGAATTCCCAATGGTCGAAAACGTACACAAGCAAAATTTTGGGTGATTTGCTTTTTCTATGACGTCACCAGGTCGAAAATTCCAAAAAAGACAAATTTAAGCAAATTTATGCCTTCCGGGCAGAATTAAGAAAAACTGTTGTTCGCTTTTCCTTAGCACATTTCGACGGTCATTTTTATGCAAAAAACTCAAAATCGATTTTTTCCTATGTCCCGGGTCCATTACGGGCTGACGCAGCGAGCCAAAAATCGTCTTTTAAGATCTCAGATTATTTTTTAGACAGCGTGAGAAAACAAAATATGACATCACTCTGTCGGAAAAATAATGAGCGCAATGTCGCTGCGCCGACCGCTTCGCGTTGATTTAGCCGTGGCGATGTCACCTTGGATCCGACAGAGTGCTCAATATTTTCCCGACAGATTGATATGAAGTGTCGCGCTTGGGGCTATTATAGTTTTAAGCCAAGTTCGGAGACCATTACACCTTGAGGAACATAAGCAACATTACAAAATCTTTACTTCTAGTAAAGATTTTCCACATCTGAGCTTCCCAAACCCTTTTTATATTTCCATGAAAATGGAAACAATGGTGTGAGAAATGATTACAATTTACAACAATGAACAATTACTTTCCCATTGGTCAAACCGGTTTGCAAAAAAACTTTCCGGTCGAGACCATATTCTCATACGTACGTACAACTAAGCAGAGACCACATTTTGTGCTGTATGGGAAACCCTTGTACAAGCAATTCTCAAATTTTTGAGGTGCAATTTTCTCCAGACATTCCTGGAAGACAAAAAGTTTGCACGTATATGGCTTCGGGAACAGTGAGAAGAGTACGATAAGTACATACACACACAAGAAGCACAGAGATGAGAAATATATACGTTTTCTTGCGAAAGTTCATGCTGGTGTTCACATACCAGTCTGTCGGGAAAATAATGACCACAATGTCGCATCTAAAATCACCGCCGAGAAAATGCATAGCAAAATCAAATTGCTTTTCACTTCAGCAAAAATAATGGGCTATATTATGCTCATTATTTTCCCGACAGACTATTACAAGACTCACGGAAAAAATGTTCAAAGTGAGACACACAAATTTTTATAAGACTTGGCACAATGCACGACCGGAATAGACTCTTAGCTATCAGTTTTTTACACTTCGTCTTAATCTTACAGAGAAGACAGAGAAAAGACGCGCAAAAACGTACTCGCTCGCCCCAAAGACTCCCCATTTCTTCACCGACAAAAAGTTTCTTTGCGTTTTTTTTGGCAAACTGCCAATCCATTCACCAGATTTATTAGCTTATCTCAGTTTGACATGCAATGGCCAGCCTGGGTACGGCCAAAAAGAATGTTTCCTTTCGCCTACTCTCTCAGTGACAAAAATCGTTGAATTTTTCTAATTTTTCCAAGATTTTTTTTGGCTACCAATGCTAAGCGCAGGCTGAAAATTAGAGGAATTAAATTTAAAGCACAGCGGATTCAAATGTACGAGACGTTTCGAACGTTCCGAAAAAACAATCTTTCAGTGTTCAGAGAGATCGCCGGCTGGATCCGGCTTGTTTTGGCTGACCCCTTTTATTCGATTCAGAATGTGGAAACAAGAAATTGAAAGAAGCGAAAGGCGTAAGTGCAAACTCGGCGTCAAAACAAAACAAATTTGGACGTTTGCAGCACCATTGAGGATACTCTGGCGACAAGTTCGAGAACACTACAGACTCTCTAAATCTATAAAATGAAAAATTTTTGTCACAGGGATTCCTGTGTGGAACGAATGCGATTTTTTAAAAGATTTTGCGTGAAGGCACATTTTTTTTTCTTCTTTTTTTTTGTTTTCCTACCCACCGCCGTGGGCACAAAGGCCTAGGACAGTAGTCGTAGATCACAATGGATTCTAGGTCTTCATCGTCAACGCAAGATCAATTCTGTACAGTGGGACCTGATCCAGTGGCAAAAAACGTATCATTTTGCATCCGGGAAGTATCAAAAATGTGGAAAAATGCTTCCCTCCCCAAGTGAAAACCCCGTTTTGAAATGCGCGCCCTTTCCCCCACAAAAAGAGTGGGCGCGTTTTTGAAATCGGAGTTTTGTCACTTGGAGAGGGAGGTATTTCGCTACATTTTTGATACTTCCCGGATACGAAATGGTACGTTTTTGGCCAATTTATCAGGTCCCACTGTATAGCCTACTCACGATCTCGAAACAAGAAGTAACACAGCAGGACAAACCATTTATTATAGCTGTATTTCAAAATCCAGGGACAATTTTCGAAAAATCCTTAAAAAATCGGGGAAAAAGTTTTCACCCCCCCCTTGAAAAAAGTTAAATTTCGATTGAGCGAACCTCGCCCAAAACGAAGATTTTTGAATACCTCAGCAGTATTTTCGCCCCTCTACCCGAAATTGGGCAGCTAATTTTTACATATTCTTAATCAGCACAATTTTTCGGATTTTTGAGAAATGTCCCGTCTGAGAAATAGGAGCCACCACAGAAGTACTTTCCTCGTTAAAAATGGTCTACACTCCTTGCAAAAAAAGTAAAATGTACTGCGCCGAGCGACAAAAAGTCTTTTTTTGTCGCGAGGCAAAATGCATGGTACAACCCCAATTTACAGCGTGCACTTTTGGCTTTTGCATTGCACTAAAATATCGCAGTGATGTCGGCTTTCCAACTACCAACTGATATACAAAGACGGACCCGATCCAGTGGCAACAAACGTACTATTTTGCACCCGGGAAGTATCAAAAATGTGGCAAAATTCTTCCCTCTCCATGTGAAAAAACCCCGATTTCAAAAGCGCACCCGCTTTTTTTGTGAGGGAAAGGGCGCGCCTTTCAAAACTTAGTTTTTTTCACTTATAGAAGGAAGCATTTTGCCACATTTTTGATACTTCCCGGATGGAAAATGGTACGTTTTTTGCCATTGGATCAGGTTCCCCACTGTACGTCGCTGCGGTTTTGCCGAATCATTTGCGGGGTGCAGCCCGCTTTTTCGAGTTTGCATTGTACGAAAAACAGCAATATTCCGTGCCAAACGGAAGTAAAAAAAGCAAAGTGCACTGTGTATTCGAGATACACACAGTAAAAAAACAAAGGCAAAAAAAGTCTGCGCACTTTATGAAAACACTAGTCGTACTGGCTCCATTATGCACAATTTCTCCTAAAAAACAGTGGCATTGTTCTTTGGCCTTGGCGTGCACTTTTACCGCTTCCGGGCGGGAAAAAACAACTGTCATTATGTACATACACACCCTCTAAGCTGGTATATATTTTTCATGAGTTCATGTTTTCGTACAAAAATTCTGCCAAACCATTTATTCCTATGCATATTCGAAGAGAAATGTAGAATTCGGGGATTGTTATGCGATTCTTTACACGTTCAGAATATAATATATAATAGTAAATTATGGAATAAGTGTGAGATCTATGGATAAATGGCGACTTCCGACGCCGTCTTCGACGTACTGGGCGTGGAAGAGCCGGACAGGGAGAGCTGTCGCTGCAAGGCTTCGGCTTCGATCTTGTCGCTGATATGTCGTCCAACTCGGCTTATAATCATGAAGAAGGCGACTCTGGAAAACATATGCAGGTGGTATTTTAAAGTTATGGTTTAAAATACGCTTCAACTCAATGGGCAATTTTTCAAGACGCTAGGATTTTATGCAAATTTTGCGCATACAAGGTCATTTATAAGATCCGGAAAATTTCATTTTTTTCAAGCCCAGTGAAAAGTAAACATATGCTATTTACTCGGGACACAAGCTTCGGCAATTCTGTCGCCTAAATCGCGTACGCTTTGTACACGTACAGTGAGGGACCTGATCCGATGGCAAAAAACGTCTCCTTTTGCATCCCGGAAGGGACCAAAATGACTCCAAACCACTCCCTTCTCTAATTGTAAGCTAAAAAACTCGGCTTTGAAAAGCGCGCCCTTTCCTTCAAGGCGGGCTCTTCAAAGCGGGGGTTTTTAGCTTAGAGAAGGGAAGGGTTTGGAGACATTTTGGTCCCTTACGGGATGCAAAATGAGACGTGTTTTGCCATTGGATGAAAACACGCACAGCGTGCCAAAAAATAAACATTTACAACCAATTCTCAAAAAACTTACGCCACAATAATGATGATCGCCCCAGCGATAATCAAATACAAATCCGGCTTGGTGATCAAGAAACCAATCAACGCTAGGGTCTCCAAAATATAAACAAACGACGCCAAGACCTGTCGATGCAGATGTGATGACAGGAAAGCTCCAATCGGCGAGCATGTGACGACTACTGGCACCGCAACCGAGAAATACTCCCAGGCCAGCTCGGACACATTCTTCTGGATCAACTGGCGCCAATAAAACCCGACCCATGTGTTCAAGCACATGAGTAGCACCGAGGTCGGTGTTGCGACCTTTTCGGAGACCCGGAAAAGCAGCGTGAGCATCGAAAAGGAGCAGATATCGACGCCGGAGCCGGTCCACGCGCTAAGCAGGCCACCGAAGAGGCCGGTGAGGAAGAGCGCAATGGCTTGCCATGCGCCGAAGTTCGGGATCGAGTCGTAGGTTTTGCGCTTCTTTTGGAGATTCAGAATTAGTAGAGAGACGGCGAAGGCAAACCAAATCGAAACAAACATCATCTTCTTTTGATGCGCTGGAAATGAGATTTTTGGTTTTGCGAAAGGTCGATGAAAAAATTTTTTTTCACAACGGTCAGTCTGTCGGGAAAACAATGAGCGCAGTGTCGAAGCGCCAATTGTGTCGCTGAAGTGAAAAGTAATTTGATTTTACCGCGACACACTCCATTTTCTCGGTGGCGATGAGATTTTTGATGCGACAGATTGCTCATTCTTTTCCTGATATACTGGTAAAGTCGACTCTTTGTATCTGTCGGGATAATAATGAGGATTTGTCGCGGCAAAATTTGAGGTCCCGTCGTAGTCGATATTAATCCATGACACTTTGCCGACAAAATTTCATGCGGGTTGAATATACGGGAAAATAATGAGCGCAGTGTCGCAGCGCCAACAGCGTCGTTGAAGAAAAAAAATTTGACTTTCAGCGACACAATTTATTTTCATGCGTGCTTTTCCCGACAGACTGATCTTTTTCTGTGGTCGTCTACAACAACAACTGGACCGATTTTTATAAACGAAAACTGTCAAAAACTTGTCGAGTATTGCAAAACCTCAACTTTTCTGAAAGTTTCGTGTAACTATCTCTATATCTTTTTCGGAACATTTGACTCACCATCCAGCAAATCATCCATAAATTGCAACCCAATGATGATGGAGAAGAAAGCGCCTAAGCTACTGAAAATAATCGAATGCCATTCCACTTTGACTTTCATGTAGACCACAGTAAATGATGAGGCAGCCATACCACAACTCTGAATCATCAATGAGAAGTCTCTTGAAACTGTTGGCGGGATTTTTAAAAGTAATGTCATCACTGGAAAGGCGATCGCTCCGCCGCCTTCGGAGGTGGCTCCTGGAAAGGATAAAAGATAGTGGAAACTCTGTACAACGAACTCTGATAAAACGAAGACAGTTTGCCAGTCTGTCGGGAAAATAATGAGTATTCTGTCGCATCAAAAATTGCATCGCCACGGAGAAAATGAATTGTGCCGCGGCGAAATCAAATTGCTTTTTACCTGAGCGACGCCAATGGCACATGGACATTGTGATCATTATTTTCCCGACATTCTGTAAGGCACAAGCTCAAATGTTCCAATGATCAATTTTAGACCCTATAGAACATCCCCTTTACTCACGATATGGATAAAAATAAGGCACATACCAGAAACGAGCCCTCCAAGGATCATGGTGATTGCCATTTCGTATCGTGTGGGATACAACGCGAAGATGTTGTTGCGGATGGCTAGAGACCACCAGCAGGTTTGGAAGAACAGGAATGGGAAGAGAAACGCAAAGTATTTCCGGTACCGCTCGTAGAATGGGAGATTTTCGCGGCCCTGAGCATTAATTTTGTCTTGGACTTTGTCATCGAGGTGTTGCCCTGTAAATTTAAACAATTTTCTTAAGTAGCATCATATATCAATTTCTAAAATCTACAGTGGTGGACCTGATCCAGTGGCAAAAACCGCGCCTTATTGCATCCAGGAAGTATCAAAAAATGTGGCAAAATACCTCCCTCTCCAAGTTAAAAAACTCAGATTTCAAAAGCGCGCCCTTTTTGGGAGGAAAAAAGGCGCGCCCTTCAAAACGAAGTTTTTTCACTTGGAGAGGGAAGCATTTTGCCACATTTTTTATACTTCCCAGATGCAGAATGGCATATTTTTTGCCACTGGATCAGGGCCCCCACCGTAGCTTGGGATTTGAAAAAATCATTGATATTTTTAGGCCAACAAATGGTAAAAAATGACCGATTTTTGGCGTCGGGTGAACCTGCAATTCCTGAAAATTTCAGCTTGCAGTTTGCAGGGATTGACTGGATATTCAACGGTCTTAGCGGCCGAAAGAGTATGGAGAACAATTAGAGAAAAAAATGCTTTTCAAATTTTCCTAGGATTTGAACTTTTTACTGCTGATCCTCGCCTTACCCTCCAGAAAATACTTTTTCAAAAAGCCTCCGAGACCTCTGGACTTCTTTGCCGGCCTTTGAACAACCTCCCCACCAAATCCACCCAATCCTTTTGCATCATCCAGCGGCTTGATTGTGTTCATTCCAAAAAAGGTTGACTGGGGTCGTATATCCGCAACACAGGTGAATCGGGGTCTATATCCGCTCAAAACTTCTGAAAGACCCTTCAAAACGAATGGGGAGGGAAAACAATCAAAAAAGTTTTGAAACGCGCAAAAAAAATAAACTTTCATCTTTTATCTTTCAACTCTCATAACGTTGGAGTCAAAAGACCGCCGAACCCGTGGAATTGCAACTTGCAATCACATGCACGACCTGTTTCTTACCTGAGGAATGGAAGTTATGCAGGGATGGAAAAAGTTTTGTAATACGAATGGCAAACAGCCCTAAATATACAAAGGTTTTATTACGCGGGAGGGGATATCAATTGTATTTGTCGCGCTCGATTGAGGAAAATATTTTTTTGGGCAGGGTAAACTTTGGGGTTGAGAAAAAAACTGTTGGTTGCGAAAATGAGAGAGAGAATTGCTCGAAGAGCAAAGCTCAGGTTTTGATGAAACTTGAAAAAATAAAGATTTCTGTCCTCACGATCAGCCAGCCTTGTTCTGAAGTTGGTTTTAGGAGTCTGTCGGGAAAATAATGAGCACTCTGTCGCATCGAAAATCGAATCGCCGCTGGAGAAATGAATTGTGTCGCGACAAAATCAAATTGCTTTTCAATTCAGCTACGCGATAGGCGCAGCGACATCGTGCTGATTATTTTCTCGACAGATAGATATTCAAGGCTGGTACCTTTGCGATAAAGATAGAGGCCATTCTCGCTGTTTTTAGCAATAATTTGGTACAATAATTTTCTTCTTGAAGTCCAGAAGGAGTTGGATTTTAGAGACTTCAATTTTGGACATTCAAAACAAACAGTAAAAATCCAATCTTTGATTAGTTACACCTACGCAAGCGCAGCGTTAAGTTCGTTATTTCGACCGCTTCTCGAGCTCTTACACGGCACTGGGAAACACATTTTGAAATGAATGTTCTATAAACAGCAATAATTTCTAGTCAAATTGTTTTTTTTTTCAAAGGTCCCAAAATAGGCCGTGGTGGCTAAATTTTGGGCAATCTTTAAAAATCTGAGCGTTCCTACCAAGCACTTTATTTATGAAAACTCATGCTTCTTCTAGGAAGAGTTGGCGTTCAAAAAAATAAACTTTTGACCCGTTCTAGTCACCATACCATCCAGCTTGACCTACCGCACTTTTTAGCGTCTTAAATACCATCTCTTTTCTACAATACCCTCAAAACGGTGACTGACAGCTCCCATAATTCGCATTTTGTCAGTTACAAACACTCTCTACCAAATCCCGCCATACCATTGTCATAACCGCTACCAGCCGCCGACCGCTAATCTGACGGGTGACATAATCGAATCTCTGTATACATTTCCTCACTTTGATCCCTCTATTTGTCATATTCGCTTTTATTGGAGGGTTGGTGGCGTCATGAACACAGAAAGGCTCGGTTCCCGGAATTGAAACTTTTTTGTTGCTTGCCCGCGAACCCGCGGGGTTTTTTTGTTGTCAAACTTTTGTATATCAAAGTTGAGAGATAAATCGTTGGTCAAACATTTGAGGAGTCGAGTTTTGAGCAGTACGGTAATCCAGAATTTGGAAAAAAACTATAAGCAGGATCTTTACAGCCGAGAGAGTACATGAAAAACGGAGAGGGTCAGACAGAAAAACGCTTTTTGATCACATCTTTGCCTGTCCTATGCGGATATGGGACCGGCAAAGACGTGATCAAAAGCCCTCTACGATAGGAATAGGCATGAAATTTTCATGCCAAAATTTGCCATCACAAAATTTTTCCAACTTTCAACCAAAAAATCTCGGTCGTTTCTGCAGAGTGCGAGCTGGGATTTATCTTCGAAAAGAACATTTCAAGTCTTTGGGCCAAGGGTCTCACAATGCCTTAAAAAATTGATCTAACAGGGGAAGTATATACTCCAAGTGCGACGCTCAGATTTTGATGAAACTTGGCACAAATTTAGAATAATTTTTTCTACGATATATGCAAGATTCTTAGCTCGCGCTTTACAGAAACAACCGAGATTTTTAGACCGAAAGTCGGCGAAAATTTAGGGGTTTTTGCCGAATTTCGGCACGAAAAGTTTCGTGCCTATTTCTACCGCAAAGGATAATGTTTCTACAAAAAATCAAAATTTTCCGCACGAAACTGCCAAAGTTATGGCCAAAAAGCGTTTTTCTCTCTGACCGCTCTCCACGTTTAGCGTGCTCTCTCGGCGGCAAAAATTGTTCGATATCTCGGTGGCACCCGCAAAGCGCGAGCTAAAACCTTCAGGAATTGATATTTATTCCATCCCCGACGTGTGTGCGAAATTTAAAGAAAATCTGAGCGTCGCACTTGGAGTACTTCCCCTGTAAATTAGTGCGAAGCTTCACCAAGATCTGAGCGCCGCCCCTGATGCACTTTTCCTATAAGCGAACTATAAAACTTCGGGCTAAAATACACATATCACTGTTTTCCGTCATAGAAAACTATTCAACGATCTTGCGTTCAAGAAAGGCTGTAAGATCGCGCTAGAAGTTACGCCTGAGATTTCAAACCCCTAAAAAACTTTATAATATTATATTTTTACGGTCCTCAATAAAAACAGAAGGCTCTGTTAATTAAACCTGACCAATTTCCCAAACTATAACATCGAATTTAATAACCCTTTCAACTCTTCAAAATGAGACCATATAGGTTTGATCTCTTCGTTGTTAATCGCCTTTGCGGCCATAATTAGCGTTGATAAGAAGGGATGATAATTTGCTAACGAACGGAAATAGAGGTTTTTATTAAAGGACATTCCTTATTAATGAGTAAAAATCTTTGGCTAGCATGAATTTTTCAGTACTAAAATGCTATAGAATATACATATTTTTCACAGGATTACGAATTCAAGAGTATATGGTGACCACTTCGGTGCCGGTTCCACGCACCAACAACACCCGATTCAGCCCTTCGGTCAGCGCTTCGAGGAATTCCATATCTGAAAAGAAAGCTTTCAAAACTGTTGTTGAAACAACAAGTAGATGATAAAATATGAGAAAGCTCACAATAAGTGTCAAAGTTTCGGTCGGGAGGTCCGGGCAAATTGACGACAATCAGTTGAGCTTGATTACTCCGCTCTTTCATCATCTCATTCAACCGGACGGCTGTGTGCATTTTTCGGACGTTATAAATCTCCGGTCGAGCCGAGTAGTTCGCCTTTTCATCGTTCATGTAAGAACTCTGGAAAGTCAAATATATGTAACATGTAAACGCTTTGAATTTAAAGGTCCACAGACCCAATACGTCAAATTTTAGTGCTCAACGGGTATCTTTATCTCAACAAAATGTAGAGAAAATCGATTACATCCAGCTAGGCTAACACAAGAGCTTCCCATTTATACAAAAACTTCAGCGGTTTGATCGAGTTTTCCATTAGAAATCGACCGACCTTTTCGGTCTGGAACATTTTTTTTGTTGAAACGGAATGCCAAGATTTTTTTTGCTTGAGCACTTTATCATTTTGTCGTGAAAATAATGTGGCTTTGTCGCAAAAAATGTCTCTCCTCGTTGCAGTCTTGCACCTAATCTCTACGGCTAGCCGTCGCAAACATGATGGGCTACTCCAAGGTCCGGCGAATCCACATTATTTTCCCGACAGACTGATAAAAAAATCTAATATCGACAGACTGATATTTTTTCTTGACGTGCCCCGTATATCTTTATAAAGCTCTGTTTAAATATGTACTAAGTTTCAATGAAATTAGTGCGTCGCGTTGGACGTATTATACTTGCCCTGTCAGTTTTCAACCTCCCAAACTCACATCAATCGAAGCCACGCTTCCTTTGTGCGTGCCCAGCCCATTTCCATCTATTTCATTGCGATTCTCCCCCGTTTCATCTGTCTCTTCAATGTCCACACAACCCGGCGGAGACTCGATAGTCTGAATTGGACTCATATTTGTGAATTTTACTCGTTCAAAGTTGCTGAAACGCTTTTCCAAGACGACTTCGTCCATGGTGACGGGGGAGACGCGACGTTCACGGGCTTGCAGCTCACGCAGGAATTTGACGCGCTTCTCCATTCGCAGTGTTTTCTCGTAAATGTACTCGGAGATGGCCGCTTCCGGCTGAAAAATGTAGGTGAGGTGCTTGTAAATGTAAATAATACAGGGTGTTTCAAGAAGTACTCCAAAAAGTCCTAGAGAAGTTCACTTATTGCCAACTTACCATATCAATGACAAAAATCTCCCCTTCAATTCTCAGATGGTACAAGAACTTCTCCAACTCATCCTTCATTTTTCCTCTGTCATCGCCCAACGTCGAGATTGTGAACAGCCGCAGCTTCGTATTCCTCCATGTTCGATGTTTTTGCAGCAAAAATGGCAGCAGCATCAGCATTCCGCCGTCATGCACAATCCACCAGACATCCACAGTGCCGGTCAATTTCTCGCTCGATTCGGGGAAGTTGCGGATGTTTTTGGGGACCAGAATTGCGCACTTCGCAGTCGCAATGCTGCGTAAAACGCTGACGAAGCGGTTGGCTTCGTTCGTGGACTTAGTGGAGGTCCATTTGTTGGGCCAGCAAACACAGACGGTGTTGTGTCGAAGGCCACCGAGTCCGGAGGTTTGGACAAGCGAGTCGACGCCGGCGTTGTAGTTTTCGGCAACGATCACCTCCGCAAACCCTTTGATTTTGTGGGCTTGAAGTTGGGTGAGAAGGGCTTGACGTTCGGACTGGAAGTTTAAGAGTTTCAAAGCCAATTTAAATCAATTGTTTTCCAGGAAAGTGACCCATAGAAATTACAATAGGTCCACAAAGTTTTTATGCCCCCAAACTTACACAAGCCTCCTCTGCCTTTTGCCCATAAACTCCTTCAATACAATCGGTCACCATCGTCAGCCCTTTTCCAGCTTTCAGTTGGCTGACAAATCCCAGCAACCTTCTCCTCCTCGCATCCAGATCCTCCTGCTCGCAATAAAACGTCTTGTGCGGATACAACACCAACAACTGTGGCCGCCAATTCCTCGAATGATGCTCTTGCCCCTGACTGACCGACAACAGCGCATATCGAGCGGCCGATAATTTCAGCCCTTGCAATCCATCGCCCCACTCTTTTTCAGCGCCTTTTAGCTCAATGTATTTGTAGACGGTCACGCCCATTGCAATCGCCAAGATCGCAAACTTCCAGCTGCTGATGAACATGATCATCAAACAGAGAAGTGCGCCGGCCAACGATAAGGTCCAATGGAAGTACTTGAAAGTGGGCCGCCAACCCGGCGCCTTCATTATGGACTGAATTGCGCAGGACAAGTTGACGCCAAGATAGCACATGAGCAAGAACTCGGTGATCAAAGCGGTCAGAGACTCTAGGACCGCGATGAGAATTCCGATTTCGCAAATAAGGAGAGTGAATAATATTGCGACCAAGGGCTCGCCGCGCCGATCGGTCGACTTGAACATTCGAAGGAAGGGGATCACTTCGTCGGAGGCGATCGCCTGAAAACATTGAGTTTTGGAGCCAGGAATAATAAGCCTATTTTAGTTGCAAGCCAATTTGTGACGGCCATTTTTAGCTGATATTTTTCATATTGCGTTTTGCAAGCCCCACACGCCTACCTGCAGAATTCGTGGCGCCCCAGTCAACGATTGCATTCCGGCGCCGATCGTGGACGCAAGACAACCAATCAGGATGACAATAGGGACAGGAACAGCCAACTCAGCGACGATCATCTTGCCCATCGCCGATTCGCCGTACTTATCGCGGATAAACATCTCAGAGACGGTCATTCCGAAAAATGCTGTGCCGAAAATGTCTGAAAGTAAAATTGCTATTTATGTTCTACTACACATATAGTGACTTGAAACAATTTTTTTTTGCAAAGCAAAATTAAAAAAAAATTTTTTTTTGAAATTTTTTTTAACATTAGTTTGAAAAAAAACCCGAAAATATTTACGACCAACTCACAAGCAATCGACGTGGTCAGTTGCGCACCAATCGTGCCCAAGGGGATAGCCACCGCTGGATCTCTGAGATTTCCCGACCGATTTGAGCCGGCCATAATCCCAGTGACTGATGGGAAGTACACTCCAACCAGCACCATAAAACTGGTCGTTGTGTCGTGAAACACCCAGTAGCTTCCCTTCTCCGCTTTCGGTTCTTTCACAGGATCGCCTCGAGTCAAGACTTGGCCCGCTTCCTGATATTTCGAGAACAGATTTTCCCTCCAGGCATTCGACGAGAACCCGGTAATCGCGCGCTGGGGTCCAATGCTTTGTGGATGAGACTGCAAGACCTTCATGAAGTACGGATCGCAATTCGTATTGTTCGAGCAGAACGCGGGCTTCAAGCCGTCAATCGAGCAGGCCGGTGTATAATGGAACTTCTCAGCGAAGGCGACCAAATTTACGGGGCGATCGCCAATCATGCAGTATTTGAGCGAGTCGGTTCCGTTGAACTTGACAAATTCACCGATAAATGTGCAAAGAATGCAACCCAGGACCATGAAGAGGGCTGGCAATGCGCATTTGTTCACAACCTAAAATACGGATTCTTGGATAAAAAAAAGCAATTTTAAATATTAAATTAGGCGCTAAGGTTGAAGTTTTAGGCGTCCTGCCAGTTTCGAACAGATTTTTTTCGAATTTGACATTTTTGACATTCCGTCCACATGGTATCGATTTTTGCTTGAGAGCGAGAATTTTCAAAAAAAATTTTGATTTTTGGCATTCCGTGGTTTTTTATCAATTTTTTCGTCTTTGACATTTCGTCTACTTAGTATTGATTTTTCGGATTTTTGCATTTTTATGGCCTCAAACCTTGCCTTATCATTTCCCAAATCTCTTACCTTCACTCCAGCCAACACAACCAGTCCAATCGACAGCAAAAATATAGATCCAAACACGCGGAAATTGTTCGGCATATCCTCGAACAACTTCAGTTGCGGGAAAAGATAAACCAATAAAATCTCGACCCCTCCGGTGATGTACATCGCGCCAGCGACCGTATTGCCGAAGAAGAACAAAATCCCAATGGCTCCGCCTAACTCTGGCCCGAGATTTCTGGAGATCATGTAATAAGGGCCACCGCCCGATACCACGCCATTCGTGGCGATCGCCGAGAGAGATATTGAGGTGAGAAATGTCTGAAAGATCACCCTAAACCAGTTAGCGTATCCAACTTGCCACTGAGCAACATAACCCAACAACTCCAAGAGACTCGAGGATCCCGGCCGTGCCAACAATCCAGGCCAGTCGGATGAAGAACAGGACTCCAAAAATGTTCTGCATGCATGGCAAATAAACTCCCATTAGGGTTCCCATTTTGATGGGTTGTTTTGGGGCATTCGACGCCGTTTCCACGTCCTGAACTTCGGTTTGATATAGCGACAAGGAGCGGAGCATCTGCCCGATCTTCTGCCCTTGTGTGTTGTATTCGTCCTACAAGCGATGACTTGATAGAATATAGGGCAAAAAAATTATAGAGGTAAAAAAATTGGAAAGTTATTGAACGCTTACTTCATATAAGGCCAGTCCATCGTTGCTGGAGTAGCAGAGCGGTTGCTCTTCAGCGCTGTTGTCAAGATCTAAAAAATTGCATTGACGTAATGATTTGTTTGGGGTTTCTGCAACTTTTATATAAAAAGTCATTCACTTTCACCGTGCATAAGAGGAAAAGTTATTAGTACGTTCAGAACACTATATTCAACGTGCACTCTTGTCACAAAAATCAGCTTTGCAAACGGACTATCACGAATGAATATCATTTTTGGCCGACACTCCACTTTTATTAAACACCGTTGAATATCTTGACCGAAAAATACAGTTTCCGGAAAAGAAACGGGGACTGCATTAGGGAGAGAGAGTGCAACTTGCGCGGTTTCTTTGCTTTTTCCGCCAACTCAAGACGAAATGTCAAAACTCGACAGCGAAGGTCAACCCTGGCCGCCAAATGTCTCAATTTTTGCAGCGCTCTGCTTGCTTCCCATGTACACAGCATAGTACATAATTCCGTGTATCTTCCCTATTTTACTGCTTACCTCGGCCATTCAGCCGTCGATTAATCGTTTTGGCCATCTCCAATAAAAGATAGACACTTTTTTTAATGTTCTAAAAGCTGTTTACAAAACTTTTCCACGGAAATAGTAACTCAAATTGCAGTTTCTCGTTGAAGCCAGTAATTGCATAACTAAATCCGAATTTCTTATGAGAATTTTAAATTTATACAAAAAATTATGTATTATAGTATAGCCTCGAAAAAACACGAGATGTAGAGGAGAAACAAGACTCGAAAATCTAAATTAAAACGAGGGAAGAAACGGCCGAAAAAAGAACAAGTAGGATGAATGTATGGCATTTTTTTTGAGATGTTTCACTTCAATTTTTCTGAAACACAAAAAAATTAGCAAGTGTTCCAAGTGTAACTTTAGGCCAAGTTTCAATAAAATCTGACGTTCGTGAGCGTCTTTAGAGTACTTCCATGTAAGTCAAAATTCAATCGTTAAAAAACGTTCATTGCAAAAATAGAACAATTTTTTTCATGACGTTGTCAACAAAAGTGGGATGACAATGTAGTATGCATAAAGAAGAAAAAAAGTCGGTAAGCCACGTGGGAAAACATTAAAAATTCTTTGGCTAATCGACTTTTTCTTCAGTTTTCGGCATCGGAAAAATGAATTTATAATCTCTCAAGAAGTAATCTTGACCTAGGTCAAAATTTCTCAATTTGGATTTTGTTTCTCGAAAATAAATAACGAAAAAAAAGTAAAAAAATAAAAGTTTTAGAGATTTTCAAAATTTCGAAAAAGAAAAAAATCGATTTTTCCAAAAGAACGGTTCTTAAAAAACAAAAAAAAAATCTAAAATTCCGTAATTTTCGACAAAAAAAATCTCAAAAAATTTCTAAAGTTTTCAGGTTCCAAGCAAAATTTTCACGTTGATAACGCCTGAAAGCTCAACAGTAGTAATCCGTAAAGATTCTGGAGAACATATTTTCATCATGCCGTAGGCATTCTTTTCGGCGGGAATATAAAAAGATTTGCCAAGAACTTTCCGTTCCCTTTCGTTTTTCTATTTTTGTTTTCTTTACGCAAACATCTCTGCGGGCAAGGTTATGGGAAGTAAGGGCTTTTGAAATGGCATTTTTTGTATTTTTAGAACGGAATATTGGGAAAAAGTTTTGAAATTTCAGAAGTAAGTCACAAAAAAATTTTTTTTAAAAGTGTGTTACTTACGCTTTGAACCTGTCTCTGTGACATGTATTTGAACCGTATTCGTCACCGGCGATACTGCACGAACGTTAAAGCGGCTCATTGCCGACCTGCAAGATCCAAGATGAAGAAAAAACTTAAAACTACAAGCTTTACTCGAAGCACGTACCCTGAACGGCCAGGGAAATTGCATTCCTAATCTGGGTAAACAAAAGAATAATCGCTATTTACTCTTTTGTCTCACTTCGCGGATTATGCAAAACAAAGATCTTTAAAAACAAAAAAACGTTGCCGTAATGCCTTAATTCCGCAATAAAAAATAAACAAACTAACGATCTTTGCCGCCGAAAGAGTACGCGAAGCGCAGAGAGTGGTTAGAGAGAAAAACGCTTTTTCACGATGTCTTTGCCAGTTTCGTGCGGCAAGACCACATTTTTGTGGAAACAGTAGCGCACGTCAAACTGAGGAGTCCGGTGACCGGAATAGACTCTTCGCTATCGGTTTTTTACAATTCGTCTTGATTTCGCTGAGAAAGAGACAAAAAAGACACGCAAAAGCGCACTCTCTCGCCCCAAAAATTCCCCATTTCTTCCCCGACAAAACGTTTTTTCGCTTCTTTTTTTGGCAAATTGCCAATCCATTCACCGGACTGTTTTAGCTTATCTCAGTTTGACGTGCCCCGTACCGTAGAAATATGCATGAAGCTGTTCATGCCAATATTCGCACAAAAATGGTTTCGATGTCCGTGGTTTCTGCAAGCCGCAAGGTTTGAAACTCCTGCATATATCGTGGAATGCCTTGGAAAGTCGCCAAGTTTCATTAAAGAGCCAATACAGCTACTACTGAATCGCGCCCTTTACTTTCGTCCGAATAGCGACAAGAAAAAATTATACAGGGTGACCCAAAATAACGGAGACAAAAGATTTTAATTTAACATTTATTTACCGGTTGAAATAACAACAAACAAACTTTTTAATTAACAGTACTACATAACATAAATATCATATCTAAGTAGTTTCGAAGTGGCCACCTTGTGCGCCGACACAGAGCTTCAAGCGTTCGGTGAAGTTGAGGGCCGCGGCACGCACCTCTTCCGCAGTCAAACGCTTCCATTCCTTGATGAGTGAAGCCTTCAGAGACTCGATATTGTCATGGGGCTTGCTACAAGATCGGGCCTCAAGGATCGACCAAATCGAATAATCCAATGGGTTGAGATCGGGAGAGTAGGGGGGCCATTCCTTCGAAGGGATAAAATCCGGGAAATGGGCCCGAATCCAATCTTGAGTGGATTTTGAGCTGTGTGCCGGGGCCGAATCCTGTTGAAAAGTCCATCTACGCTGGCCAAAGTGCTCAGCAGACCATGGCAATACCACCTTCTCTAAAATGTCCTTTTGGTACACTTTTGCGTTGATCTTAACGCCTTTTTCAACAAAAATTAAGGGAGTTTTGCCCGAGGCGCAGATCCCTGCCCATACCATCAAAGACTGGGGGTATTGGCGTCGGGGAACAATGGCATCCTCTTTTGGACGGTCTGAGGACCAACGACGAGAATTTTGGGGGTTGTAGGTCTGCTGAATGGAAAACAGTTTTTCATCTGAAAATAAAATTTCATTTGAGTTCTTACCTGCGTGCCGACGGATGAGATTCTTACATCTTTCAAGCCGTACCTGCTTATTTTTCTCTGTGAGCAATTGACCTTTTCGGAGCTTGTAAGGCTGTAACTGTAGATGCTCTTTGGCTATACGCCTAACAGATTCACGGGCTAGGCCAGTTTCCTTGGCCACTTTCCTCATGGACACCAACGAATTCCTTTCAGCCCGTTGTTTGATGATCTTCCGATTCCGAGCAGTGTTGACGGTGCGTTTCCTTCCCTTCCTCGGACGGTCACCGTCGTGGCCAAGCTCTCTGAATCGCTTTACGGCCTTTGAAACGGTTTGCTTGGGTACTCCAAGCATTCTAACAATGTCACATTGGCGTTTTCCACTGCGAAAAAGAGTCAAAATAGCACCACGCTCACTTGACATGTCGAATAAAGCCGACCCTGAGGTAACACAAACAAGAAAAAGTATCCAATAGGTACAGAAAAGAGTGGAGATTTCCCCACTGTATTTTATTTGGCCAAACCCAACAAAGCTTTCGCGGTGGGACCCATCAAATTTTGTCTCCGTTATTTTGGGTCACCCTGTAGTGACATTCCACATACTTTTTAATTTACTGTTTTAAAATTTTGCCCTTTTTTCGCCGCAGGCATTAAAAACATTCTTTGACATTTTGTTTCCCACGTCGTAAAAATTGCGGTTCAAAAGTAAGTCTGTTGCACTTTTAAAATCGTTGTACATTCTAAGTCATCACTTTTCCGACAATTACATTGTCAAACCCTCCCTTAAATGCCGTCTTGTGACTGCCGCTTATTTCCGGTATCCAACAATAACAAAAATCCAATGACCACCCAATTTTAGAGCCTTCAAATATTTAAGAAATAAATAATATAAATAATAAAACGGCCCACAGGAATTCTTAAAAGTTCCTTCACGCCGTTCTTTCAACTTTTTTTGCTTCTTCTTATAAACTTGAGCCTAAAATGGGACTAAACTTTGAACGACGGATGCTGAACGGCCTGAACACGGCACTCTGCAAAGTGGTTTACAACCAAAGAAACTTTTTTCGGTGTCTGGAACAAAAATAAAAGCAAAAAAATGAAGAAGAGACGTTCGAGGATGGGTTTCAAATTTCGGATGTCACAAAAGTCAACGGGATGAAGTTTGGAAAATAATTTGGCAAAAGGTAATATCCATAGAAAAGGTAATATTTCATAGACAAGGTACTGCGAAACCTAAATGCATCGATATCCCAATGTCTATCAACCATTTATAGCCATACGTCAGCAGAAATTGGAGCCAAAAATTGAGTGCAAAATAATAATAATCTCAATAAGCGGGATGCCGAGCTCTCATAGAGAATATCATGACATTAATGACTGCAAGTCAGAAAAGAGTCGTTAATATCTTCATGAATACGAACGGACGACTCTCTTGCTCGGCGGGAAAGAATTTGTACAGAGAGTTATATTTTTCGAACAAATCCGCTTACACCTGCCACTTGAATACGTTGTACTTTCAAAAATGAAGAACGTTCTTGTTCGAAATACCACGTTCGTTTTAATAATAGAGGACTAACAAAATTGTAAGGTTCTTCCGAGCGGTTCGAAAATTGGGTTTTCGTAAATTGAGTCTGTAATTTTGAATAGGTTTATTTTTGTTCAGAACAATTGAAATTTCAGAACTGATTATGGCGAAGAACGTATTAATCCGTCGGGAAAATAATGTGGCACCTTCAAATCACCCATCATCGCTTTTTGACGGCTGCGAGATTTTGCTGCGACAAATTCACATTATTTTCCCGACAGACTAATACAGAGAGTAAATTGAGTTAATGAGGGCCGCAAAAATCTCCATTTTAAACATATGTACAATTTTTATTTATTAGGAGATCAAAGGCGATAGCTTTCGCAAAAAATGCAAAATGGTTTCAAATGCACATATCAATGAATACTTATTTGTTTTCTCTCTTCCAATCTTATCCAGCACCCTTTATTTGGCTTCAGCACAAGCTCAGTGAGTCCTCGATTTTCAATTTGATGTTTTGCGCCGATTACCCGGAACCGAGAGAAGATTTTCGACAAGACAACTTTCAGCTGCATCATGGCGAATCTTTGGCCTGAAAGGAAAACGTTAGCCCAACCGTTTACCTCCCTATTACGTTAGTAGTCCGCGACTTGCCTATGCAGTTGCGATATCCCGCTGAAAACGGGATATAAGTGAACGGCGAGCGGCTAGCGACATTCTCTTCATCAAAATGAGAGGGATCGAAGTAGTCGGGGTTGTGAAAGTACTACAAAAATTATCGTAAACTCGGAAAAGCGACTTGCGTTGGGATCTCGATGTGCGGCAAATGGCGCAACCATTACTGTAACACCTTCTGGGATTGTGTAACCTTCTGCAAAGTTGGCAACATTACAGTGGAACCGCGGTATCATAAAATTCGGCATCTATTATCTACCTATATGACAAACAAATTTCGGAGGAGGTCGAAGTCAATATTAGGCCATATGTACCAAAAATGCCCTAGTTTTAACTTTTACTCACTAATTTTAATTTCCTCACTGGCTGTACGTCCAATCATCGGTACCAGCGGGAACATTCTCATCGTCTCCTTTATGCACTTCTCCAAATAATTCATTCGCAAAATATCAGCATGAGACACCCGTCTGTCTCGATCATCTTCCTCTAAAACCAAACATCACTCGCACGCGATTTCCTACCGAAAATCTCATCCAGTTCATCCCGAATTCTCGCTTGAATATCTTCCCGGTCAGCGATATTCATAATGAAAAAGGAAATGCAATTGGACACAGTGTCATGGCCTTCGAACATGAAGGTGTCAACTTCTTCACGAATGTCCTCATCCGTCAGTTTGAACTCGTCTTGCATTTGGAGTAGAATGTCAAGAAAACAAGTGCGTTTATTGGGATCATTGTCGTTGTTATTTTCGATCTTTGGAGATTGGGCTCTCTGCGCCTTGCGCTCCGCAATCACCTGAAGTTTGATACACCGACATATCAGTTTTAAACCAGACTACTAGTTCATTACTCATTGACCTTTACTATGTAGTAAGACGCTATTGTACTTTCTAACTACAAAACATTTCTCGCCTTTTGTTTATGGAAGTAATTTCAACACGGAACCTGCAAGTGCCCTTTGTGTAAACTTCACAATATTAAGAAATCAAGAGCGACTGACCTTTTTGGTGAAGTCTGTTACAATCCTCCGCGCTCTATCAAACTCCACACCGTAGCCTGTGGCGTACCACAGGAGCTTCGGCCAGAGCCACGGAGAGCGGATTCGAAGCCAGAGGAGCTCGCAAAGCGTCTTCACCGACTTTACGTACACAGCATTTTCTCCAGTTTGTGACGAGACGTTAACACCCATCGCGGCTTCTGAAACCATGGAATTACAGCAAATTTGAGTTAATTTGCAACTAACCACAAATCACATCCAACGCGAGCGCCTTGAAGTACTTGTAGGCATCGAAAGGGTATCCATCTTCTGCGTGCTTTGTGAGGTTTTGCATGAGTATCTGGATTTCCACGCCTTTTTAAGTCAAGTGTGGCAAACTTACATCCCCTTGCCTATTAAAACATTTGATGAAAGTGATTAATGATGCAAAGTGAAAAGCCGGGGTTATAATTTTCCGTCGATGTCGCCATTTTTCGTTTGTACTAGAAAGCGGAAGTAAAGACATTAGGTAAATGCATCACAGTATTTACCTTGTCAACAAGCCCTCACCCAGCCAATCTTTGATGTAATCGTATTCGTGGGTTTTGGAGATGATTGCAGGATTTTCCATAAGCGGCTGGAATACAGTAAAACAGTCCTAGCCTATTGAAACTGATATTATCCATCGATATGAGCCTGTCGGTAAAATAATGAGTATTCTGTATCATCCAAGATCGCACAGAAATGACTTGCGTCGCGGCACAATCAAATTTTTCTTTCACTTCAGCGACGCTATAGGCGCAGTGATTTTGTACTCATTATTTTCCCGACAGACTAATACGTTGCGCCATTTCTATTTTCAATTCTTGCTTTCTCACCTTAATCGTCTCGGCTCTGTAAAGCACAACGACCGGCTTGGGGCCAAGATAAAACTTAAGAATGCCCTCGGCATCCTTGGCGTTGGTAAAAATCCGAAAAAAGTACTCCATCTGGTATGTTGACACTAAAACATTAGATACGCTTCAGAGACAACATTCGTATATGCAAACAAAAACCTATAAAAGCGCTTACAGACACTGTCAGGGCTGATCTTGTGGGCAATTCCCAGCAATGGCTGGCCTTCCGGCCCTGGGATTTCTGCCAACTTGCAAAACACGTAAAGTTGATGACGCAACCATCTGAGAACCTTATACGAACTTAAAACGACGTATAAAGACGCCAGTAAACATATCCATAGCAGACCGGCCATCTATACAAAGCTAAACAGCATTGAAGGTCAAAAAATGGGTCATTATAAATAACAACGGCTTCAAAGCTCAAGCATTAAAAGTGTAACAGGAAACATTGTCGAAATAAACACAAATCAGACAAATTCGAGCATCCTGTGGTTCCTGCTTTCCACGTAAGTGTAACAGACCCCTCCCTTAGGGGATCGGGGCTGACCGATGGATTGACCTAGCCTTTAGGGCCAGGTATCTCACCGCCTTCCACGTACCCGAGCGGCGTTTCCCTTTACTAGACAATACTCAAATATCCATACCGGTTAACAATTACATTTATTCCTTCAAACACAACCGGCCATCTTCATCACTTTTCCCTCTCTCCTCGATCTTCGATCGAGGCGCTAGGACTTGGGTTTAGATACGCGCGGTAACTCCGCCTCCGACTTACGTCATCAGCGTCGCTGGCCGCGACATCTTCCCCCTCCTCCTATCGCGACGACCGCGTCGCGAGAATTGACGGCAAGGTCTGAATAAGGCTTCAAACTTCAGATATCAATAACATATACAAAAATGAATACAACAAATTATACTAATGTAAAATTGAAGGCTACGGTTATTACCGCCTATTTTGAATCGCTATCGAATTGCAAACGTTTATCCCGAGACAAGACTATGAAAGAGAGGTAAGAAAGAAAAGTGCATATGTATTTCTTGGTTTTTCACGCATTATATTAATTCACGATGAGCTCAGCGAACGGAGAGGAAGCTGCTCCGCGTTCTCAGCTTTATGATAGTATAATATATATATTTTTTCTCTGATAACCAAGATTGCAAGAGAAGACTAGAGTTAATATAAGAATGGGAGTCCACGTTGCTCTTTGATAGTTTTCTGATCGGACAAAAGTTGATACAATACAAAATTATATATACAATCCATGCAAATGTTTCGGCACTTTCGCTTGGAGAGGCATCGATGACGTTGACGGTGGGACTCGAGGAGGCCTCCCCGACTGGAAGTTTTCGTTGCCCTCAACGAAATCATGTTGGTTGAACCTGGAGGCAAATTGGACCTTAAAATACTCGAATTTTTAAGACTGATTGTGAGAGGAAGAAGCTGAGGGGTGTGGGGGTGGAGAAGTGAAGTGGATGGCAAGTGTATGTGAGTGGCGTAGTGATTTTGGTGCTTAGTCGTCCTCTTCTTCATCATACTCTTCATAATCTTCTTGGTCCTCCTGGTAGTCATCTTCGTATGGATCTTCCGAATAATCGTCGGCGTCGTGGTCCTCGTCGTCATACTCGTCATCATATTGTGGTTCCTGGGCATCCCAATGCGAGGGTCCCGGTTCGGTGGGCCTGCGCCATTCGAGACGGTTATGCAACAACTTGCGCTGATCTTGATGCGTCTGATGCGGTTCTCTGCGCCGCTTGCGGATGAAAGGATTCAAGTTTGCTAATTGGCGTTGAATACTCAAAAGTGTGCGCTGCAGTGTTCTTTCCGGTTGCACGGCATTGACGGACGTGTCGTTATAGCCTTCAAAACGCGCCACCTCGTCTTCTGCGGCGTGGATCAGTTCTCCTAGCGGAAGAGCGCTTCCGTTGCGAAGTCTAAGGGCTTCTCGCACTGGCTGAGGCAACGCGGATAAAAGTTGCGCTTTTACTTGACTTTCTTGGATCTGCGTCGCGAGTTCTCCGTGTTCTGTACTCGGAAATGCGTAGCTGCTGAGATTTCGCAAGTCTTCTGCCAGCATTAGTACTGATTCGCCTGTCTGGTACTTTCGCTGGAAAAACTCCTTCCGGGATTTCTCTTGGCGCCCCGCTGTGGGAATTGCTTTGCCGATAGCGTTTAAAATATCCTCTGGATTTTCTTCGCGTATAAGCGCGGTGGGTAAATAATTGTAAATAAGAAAAGCTTCGCCGGCTAGGTAATGGGGAATCGCTTGCGATGCTTTTGATTTTCCAAACTTTTTCGCGTCGCACATGCGTGCAAACTGCCGAAGGAACGTGTCAAACGGGCGCGGGTCATGTCGGCCACTAAAGGGCTCGAGTGGGTAAGATGGCGCGCTTGACTCTTTTGTGGGAGCCATGGAACTTACGGGCTATGGCTGAGACGATAACCAATCACAACAAAATTAAGGGTGCGAGGCTCAGATGAAGGGAACAAATGATCTGCCCAAGTGGATCAGTTAAGTTTGGCCGGAACGAGGGCGTGGTTTGCCTGGGTAGGCTCATTTTGATTTGGCGCTACACCTTGCGCAATTTTGGCGCGCTGACCCCTGGTCGCTTGACCTATATCTTCAACTCAGTATGCCTATTGCGCCTTTCCCCGCTTTATTTTCTCTGAGGCTATTCTTCTTTGCGGTAATCTTTCCAGTTGTGCCCCTGATGCCATAGCTCACAGCCATCAAAAAAACATTCAAATTTTACATCGGTACCGACAAAAAAAAATAAAATACAATATGTACAGAAAGGTGAAACCTAGTACTTGTTGATCAGACAATCCTAAGTAACCCTTTTTCAAAGATGGTGGATTACATGCTCCTAGGGAAGTCAAATAGCTCGTATTTTGTAGTAATGTGGCCTCAATCAAATGTTTAATGTCAACGATGAATCTCTTGTTTCTTTTGGATTTTTTTTTGAGATCATACTTATTTTGCTTATGCCGCGTTCAAGGAAGCTCTCAATGTAGTAAAATAAAATTACAGTATCCCTGTCCCTGTATTAATAATTTCGATCGCTAATGTATATTATTACAAAACCAGGAGAAGCGGAGAAGACTCTCGCAACTCCAGCCATAGCTGACCTCAGGGTCTGTCCTCTGACCTGTCAACTTATGACGAAATTTAAAATAGCTTCCATTTAGAAAGACTCCGGTTCCCTTATGTCCAGGAAGTCTAGAGAGGTTTCGAAAAATTTAGTCGTTACGGCCACGTTTTAGGAGGTCAACTCACAATGTATTACTATACACACACACGCAGAAAACGGACTTGGTAAAGGGTACAGAGCCCCCACCTTTAGAGCTGCGAAAAATAAAATAAAAATTGGGATACTGTCCCGGCCGGGGCGCAAACATTCCTCTCTTGGGGAAATACTTATCTTAAGTATCAGGGACGACAAAAAGTAACGACTTGTTCAAAAATGTTATCCAAAATGGGTGAAACCTCTCTCACGGCCTACGATTGCTACTGACTTACGTATCCAATGTGCACGATGGTACGTCGGGAGGAGGGTCGGAGCACGCGTGCTTGTCTAGTCCATTCCACACTCCATTCACTTGATAACAGTAGAATAGGAATAGTAGAAATGGGGATAACGTCATCTCGGTGAGACCTCCAGATGTAACAGACCCCTCCCTTAGGGGATCGGGGCTGACCGATGGATTGACCTAGCCTTTAGGGCCAGGTATCTCACCGCCTTCCACGTACCCGAGCGGCGTTTCCCTTTACTAGACAATACTCAAATATCCATACCGGTTAACAATTACATTTATTCCTTCAAACACAACCGGCCATCTTCATCACTTTTCCCTCTCTCCTCGATCTTCGATCGAGGCGCTAGGACTTGGGTTTAGATACGCGCGGTAACTCCGCCTCCGACTTACGTCATCAGCGTCGCTGGCCGCGACATAAGGTAAACAGTTCGGGGGTTCTGTAAATGAAACGCATACCCATTACAGGGCCGACTTTTGACGACAACACATTTTGAAAGTTTTTTGTTATTAGTCAAGGGCATGGAAAAAGGTAGAGTATCAAAAAATCAAGGAAAGAGTTCTTGATTTGGACACGCACTACGATCCGCAGATAGCTAATAGCAGAAATGAAATTTGTAGATTTTTGGACAGTTGGACCAGCCCTAAATAACAATGAAGGACCTGATCCAGTGACAAAAAACGTACCATTTTGCATCCGTAAAGTATCGAAAATGCAACAAAATACCTCCCTCTCGAATTAAAAAACCCCAGTTTGAAGGGCGCGCCCTTTACCTCACAAAACGAGAATCGGAGTTTTTCCTTGGTTAATCAACGATCGGAAGCCAAATAAATCTCACGTGTCTAACGAATTCAATGACCATCGAGAAAGCTTACGGTGTGTCATATGGTGAAAATCGAGGACGTTCAGTGTAATATTTTTAAGAGTTTGGCTTACGCTCCATAAATCGTTGATTACATTTTTAACATCAGAATGCTGCCCTTTAGCGAATGAATCAAACCTTCTTTAGCGAGATGAGACTTTTGGAATTCATCAAACTCACAAGGAAGTTTTCGCTGTGCCAACACAAAGTGCGAGCCTTTTAGAAGCCTACGTGGCTTTACTCGCCACGTGACTTAGCCGAGTTTCAACGTTGCTAAATTTAGAAAGTTGGTCGACTAAATTTATTTCTGTTTGACTCTCATTACAAACATATGTTGTGGGAAAGTATAACGAGATCAGGTCTACCAAGGAAATTAAGAATAAAAACTACGTTAGGTATAATTAAATTCAGTTGAAAGGTCAAAAAATAATCTTAGAGCGCATGAGCATTAGTCACTTAAACCTTGTAGACGAATGTATATAACAAGCTCAACCGGGTCCAAGTTTATGAACTATTAGAAGTATTCAAAGTTTCCTAAATACCGCTTGGACATGCTGGCGACACTTTTCCTGTAGGAAAGGACTGCCGCACGTTAAGATCTCTTGTCATGTTTATTTGATCATATTATCTCCCGCTTTGTATGCCTAAACAAGCCAACAATTAAATGACCTTCAAATAATTAGGGCCAACAGCATTTCAACCGTCTGGATTTCCCTATTCGCATAACATCGCTGATTACTATTTTCCTCAACAGCCATATTAGAGTACCAAATAATATTCAAAGGGGCGTATAAAGAAATCATTTCCACAAAAGGGATACAGGAAATAATTACTGGGTCCCTCAAGACAGCATGCGTCGGCAGGCGGATAAGCCTATGATGCTCTCCTACTACAAAAAGAGAGTATACTTAGTGTCGAGAAGAGCCATGCTACTACAAGGCTGCTTTTTGTATTTCTGCAGATTTTTTCTTTTTTCTTACAACACAGCTTCGTTAGATGAGGTTCTACCGCGATTTTTTTGCGTTAAACACCACACGTGATCTTATGCCAACAATACTTTCAGATATGATTACCTCCTACAGTGTAGAAAACGCAAGTTCAGTTACAATTGAAGTATGTTTCGAAAGCCGAAAGTATGCCGCCAGTAGAGATAAACAACTTTCCGAATTTCTTACAATACCTCTGAATATGCCAGCAATTGTTTTGTTATTCACCGTTTTATGTAACAAAGTAACGTATAAAGCGCACGTCAACTTTAAAGTAAGAGCTTTTGGTTTGCATATGTGTGTATTTACAGCAATATCGATCAATTTTACAGATAATCCTAGCGAATATCTGGATAGCAACTTTTCTTCATATCTTTTCCAACATATCCGTTAATGTGTACATGCTATACCTCGAATATACGGACGACGGATCATTGTGCCATTTTGTTATGCCAACATGGAAGTGTGCCATAATGAGGTGGCCAGTTACCTGGACAGTAATTGCCATGATGCTGATTCATCTTGTGATGTTCATCGAACGAGTTTTGGCCACAAGATGTAAAAGTAACTATGAGCAAATGGGTTACAGGTTCGGCGTTATTTCAACCTACCTAATTGTAAGTTCTTTAATGATGCAAGAAAAAAACTGGCGTGCTTGTTCCGCACGTCACGGTAATTATGACAAGAGGATGCTAAAAACAAAGGGGTCTTAATCACTTCTTACAATTAGCAAGGGACGTAGAGAAGCATAATCTAACTGTTTGGCAGTGAATCAGAGAAGATAAATTGAAAAAGAACGCTAAAGGATTTGCAGGATAAAATCCAATATTGTGTACATTCAATTGTTTTCAGTGGCTGACAACATGCGCGGTATGCTACTACTCGTTCACCGTCAAGGACTACGGCGCGCCATTAGCGTACTGCTTAGGGACGATACCTGACAATGAAGAGCGAGTGCGCAAATTGTTGGCAGTAACTCTCCCACTAGACATTACAATTACTTTCGGCGACTTTGCGTTACAATCTATCAATCGGCGGAAGAAAAGAACAGCGTAATACAATTTTTATAATTTCAAAATCCCAAGTAGACGCAAAATAGTACAATGCAGTTTACATCATAGACGAAGAAACCAGTTGTATAATTATCGCTTAAAAATGCTTTCAGAGTATATACAGACTATACGTTAACCCGGTCCTATCAAATAGAGGAGAATTATTTCACAAGTCGGGTAGTATTCCCGGTATCGCTGACCCACTCGTTATGTTATACAGTATATCTGGCGGTGACGACCTGGGTTCGCAACAAATTCACATACAAAGATGATCCAGTTCTGTTTGTTACACTGATCATGTCGGCTCATAATGTAAGTATCCATGAATGTTATAAGTTTGCTTATTAGGGTGTCCCATAAGTCTTGTGTATTTTGGGGTCGTTGACTTGTGCGAATTCCTGTGAGCTTTGTAACGCATTACTAGATATGTCAGACATACGGTTTTGAAGATCAGGGGCCTGTCCCACTAACAAAGCGTAGCGCGAATCACGAATTGGAAGCGCGAAAAATCATGCAAAAGCGAGAGAGGCGAGAGAAAAAGCGGGCTCTCTCGGAAATCCGCGCTACGGTTTTTTTGTGCAAAATACCGAAAATTTTTTACTTTTTTTGCCGTAACTCCTTTCAATGATGTCCGATTTACATGATTTTAAAAGCCGTGAACAGAGGAGACCCACAGCTTCCAGAAAATGTAAATTTTGTTTGCTTTAACGCAGATTAAGGCTTCCCGCCTGGACGAATTACAATTTCCTCCACAAGAATCACGATTCCAAAATGTCGTATTTTCAAGTAAAATTTATCCTTAATCTACTCATCATAACCCCCAACGTTCATATTGTCATTTATCAGCCCAAACTGCCCCTCCCAGGCCCAAACTGCCCCTTCCAAGCCCAATTTTGACCTCCTCTTGCCATAATTTGTTTGGATCGCAAAAAAATTTAAGTTTTATTTTTTTTTTTAAAGTACTCTATTCGTCTCCCAGAGGGACTGGGGCGGTTTTATCAGCCCAAATTAGCCCTTCCAAGCCCAATTTTGATCTCCCCTTGCCATAATTTGTATGATTGCACACGGAGACACTCCTGGAACTTCCCATTGAATAATTAATCGCGCTTGTCGTTGTTATTTGAAAACGTTTGTTGAAGAGGAGGTCAAAATTGGGCTTGGCAGGGCTAATTTGGGCTGATAAAACCGCCCCAGTACCTCTAGGACACGAATAGAATAATTAAAAAAAAAATTTTTTAAATGTAAATGTTTTTGTGATTCAAAGAAATTATGACAAGGGGAGATCCAAATTGGGCTTGGCAGGGCTAATTTGGGCTGCTAAAACCGACAAAGTCCCTCTGAATGACGAATAGAGTACTTTTAAAAAAAAAAATCAAACTTAATTTTTTTTTGCGATCCAAACAAATTATGGCAAGAGGAGGTCAAAATTGGGCTTGGAAGGGGCAGTTTGGGCTTGGGAGGGGCAGTTTGGGCTGATAAATGACAATATGAACGTTGGGGGTTATGATGAGTAGATTAAGGATAAATTTTACTTGAAAATACGACATTTTGGAATCGTGATTCTTGAGGAGGAAAATGTAATTCGTCTTGGCGGGGAGCCTTAATCCGCGTTAAAGCAAACAAAATTTACATTTTCTGTAAGCTGTGTGTCTTCTCTGTTGATGGTTTTTGAAATCATGTAAATCGGACGTCATTGAAAGGAGTTACAGCCAAAAAAGTAACCACATTTCGGTATTTAGCACAAAAAAACCGTAGCGCGGATTTCCGAGAGAGCCCGCTTTTTCTCTCGCCTCTCTCGCTTTTGCATGATTTTTCGCGCTTCCAATTCGTGATTCGCGCTACGCTTTGTTAGTGGGACAGGCCCCAGGAATTGCGCTTTTAAACCGTATATAGCAAGGTTGCAAAAAATCCATCTGCCACCCGCACTACCCCAATATTGTACTAGACATCAAAAAAAATTTTGTTTGCTGATGTTAAAATGGGTATATACTTTGGAAAATCAGATGTGTACGCCTATGAAACATGAAAAGAGGACGCACAAGAGCCCTAGATGTTATTTTAATTCGCGCTGCAGCACGGGCGGGGGTACCTTGATGGTGGTGTAAATAACATGAGAACTGCTGCACTCATGCTTTTCAGACTCAATTTTCCAATAGTAGAAAGTGTTGGCTGTAGCTGCTTATGGTATGTAATCTACTGTTGTTTGTGAACACAACGACATAATAATCACCGCCTGTGTCACTTTTGTTTCTTGAAATAAGCTTAATTTAAAAATTTCCTAATTATTTTAAAAATTTACAGAAAATTTTTTAAATTGAGTGATTTTTCAGCCCTTAGCACCTCTACTCCTAAATCCTCTTGCTAAAATAAAACACATATGACACTGTTTAGAACACACTGCACTACAATGTTATTTGTATCCACACCCACTTTTTTGGTGTTGAGCAAATGCATCAATTTTTTTCAAATTTTTTTGGGTTAGTGGTGATTCAGAGCATGACAGCCAGCGGATTCATAGTTAGGACGCATGAACGTTATGTTTTTTTCACTCTGGTATCGGCGCGACCTGAGCAACCACCCTCAAAAAATGTTGTACGCAAAATTATGTACATCACAATATTCACCATGGTGCCTAATACAAGAAACCTGCAGGACAACGTTATAGGAACAAATTCAGAGGGGAAAACGGTTTATTTAGAAACAGGGTACTTAGTAGATGTGCTAAAAAATTCAATTGAAAAGGTGCAGCCCCATTTATCAAAAAAACCGAATCGTTTTCCCAGCCCTTCCCAGAAGTTGATGATATTAAAGAATTTCAAGTATTTTCCCGGAGGGCATGTTATTAGTTAAAATTTTTATGCTGCTTATAAGTGTAAGAGATGGCGGTTTCAACAATGCCAAACATTAAGAGATGCATTCATTTAGACCTGCGAAACGAGACTTTAATTCTCAAACCCCAAAATACACAAGACTTATGGGACACCCTAATATTTAAGCTGATGGTCATGTCAATAACCGCCTGTTTGATCGCCTATTTGATCCGCTGTCGATGGATCAGGCGTGTGAAAACCATCAAAGAGCTCAAATTTGACAAGAGCGGAACAACAAATATCTACTTTCGAATGCTTGACGAACAAGTTGGAAATCACACAAGAAACAAGCTACCAAAATAGGAGATAAAAAGTAATTCCGTCCAATCTTGATATTAAAGTCGTCCAGATAAGCCATAAAAGACGTTATTACTAATTTCATTTGAAGTCCATTGTTTTCAAAGCGACTAAAAGGCCATTCGTTATCAGTACTCTCTCACAGTTTGGAAGCGGAATAACAACGAGTTTTCTTTGCGGCGTTTGCTCAAAAATTTCAGAAAATATAATAGCTTCGTGCATTTTTTACTACCGAATAAGAATCCGAATTAAAGTCTGCAAGCCATGCCGACCACCTACAAACTTGGACCAGGTCCGGAGATTTCTTCCGATTTGTTCAAAGAGAATCGTCAGCGACTTGTTGACGCATTCAGGGAAGCTCCAAAAGGCTCATTTGCGGTCCTAGAGGGTGGTCATGACCCACATCGTTATAATACGGATATGCAATCAGAGCCTTTCAGACAAGAGTCCTATTTTTATTGGGCTTTTGGTGTGACAGAACCCGACTTTTTCGGCATTATTGATTTGCATTCAGGCAGAAGTGTGCTATTGCCACCAAAACTTCCAAAGGATTATGCGATTTGGCAGGGAAGGTGGGTGTAATAATTTCTCGACTAAAATTCTAATTTAGTGTCAAACCAGAGTCTTATTTCAAAGACAAATACGATGTGGAGGAAGTTATATTCAACGAGCCCCATACTATCAGCACATGGCTTCAGACAAACAATGCAACAACAATATATGTTTTGGTAAGCACGAACGATTTGACAAAACTTGTTGGAAGCATAAAGCAAGGCTATGCCACGCGTATTTTACCGTTTTCAGAAAGCTTACAATACCGACAGCCATCAAGTTCTCGAACCAGCAAAATTCCAAGGCATTGAAGCCTTTGAAATTGACGATGAAAACCTCTTCTTTGGTATGGCGGAGCTAAGAGTTCTCAAGACCGACAAAGAGTTAGAACTTATAAAATACGCCTGCAAAATAGGTTCAGACGCCCATAAGGAATTGATGAAGAACATAAAGCCAGGAAAATCCTATCAGTATCAAATGGAGAGCCTGTTTCAGCATGAAAGTTACTCTACTGGTGCATGTCGGCATGTGGCATACACATGTATTGCAGCCAGGTAAGATGAATTGGTGCTAACTGCAGAATAAACTCGTAAAAAACCAACCTCCTGTTTTATATTCATTTCAGCGGCGCTGACGGTGCAGTCCTGCACTACGGCCATGCTGGAGCTCCGAACGACCACCTGATCAAAGACGGTGATCTTTGTTTGTTTGATATGGGCCCAGAATACGGTTGTTACAGTAAGTTCTTCAAAAAAACAAACGAGCTTACCTACTGACTATTGAAAAATTCCTCTAATGCGTTATTTGAAGCTTCGGACGTAACATGCACATTCCCAGCAAACGGAAAATTCACGGAGAAACAGAAACTTATCTATACCGCAGTTCTGGAGGCTACTCGAGCGGTCTTCAAAGCTGCGAAGCCAGGTGTTCGCTGGACCGACATGCATCTGTTGGCCGAAAAGATACTTCTGCAGCATCTCGTTCGTGCTGAAATTCTCATAGGCGATGTGGACGAGATGCTGGAAAAACGGGTTTGTGCCGTTTTCTTTCCCTGCGGCCTTGGGCATTTCATGGGATTGGATATACACGATGTTGGCGGGTATTTGGGTGACGCTATACCCACGTCGAAGCTAAATGGCCTAAAATCTCTCCGGACAACAAGAACACTAAAAGAAAGGATGGTGATCACCATTGAACCCGGGATTTATTTCATCGACACGGTAGGTGTCAAAGATAATATAAAAATTATCGTCAATTCATTGGAAACGTGAAATTTGAATTCATACCGTGCTTCACACGCTACAACCAACTTTTTTACTGTTTCAGCTCCTCGATGAAGCCCTTACGAACCCTGAAATCAGCCATTTCTTCAACAAGGAGGTCCTAAAACAATATCGAGGATTTGGAGGCGTACGAATTGAAGACGACGTTGTGATTTGGGCTTCCGGAAACGAGTGCTTGAATGATGTGCCAAGAACGATCGATGAAATCGAAAAATTCATGGCAAAAAATTGAAATTTCGACGAAGAGAAAGACTTGTCCCAAGATTTTTGAGTCGACTGTTTCTTTTGACAATTTTTTGCCGGGATCGTTTTTTCTCGATGAATTTTTACAATTTCACAGAGTAAAGCAAGATAATCGGCTACTCTCCACCATTATTATCCAGGATTTTTCGTATTACATGTTTGTTTACCGCTTTTTGCATCAATTTTCACCTTTTGCCCTTATCTTCCAATCTTATCGTTGATTTTGACCGGAATGGCCGTTCTTCGGTGTCGCTGACCTTCACCATGTGATTCAAATACGTTCGAAAACCCTTATCACTACCAATTCCGCGTTTTTGTTGGGTCTTTTTCCATTTCCGATATAAATCTTGATATAAATGGAGTCGTTTTTCAGTTTTGGTTCGTTTCTTTTGTGCTTTCCCGAAAATGGTCACGTTTGCTTGTAAATAAAGGGTTGCTCGAAGAGGGTTCCAAAATTTCAATCGAATTGGAAAGGAATTGTTGGTTTTCTTCTGGTTTTATATTTTTTGTTGCTTTAGGTACCTTTGCTGCTTCTCAAAAAATTTGGATGTATCCACTGATTATTTGAGAATGATTTCTTGTAAAGACATAGATAATAGCTCTATGTTGATGTTGGGACGTTTTTTTTACCCGATTCCTCTCATCTTTTGGGGTTTTTAAACCATATCTTGCACTAGGTGTATCTGACTTGTTTAGTAAATTATTATTCAAAAATGGACTTTTTAAAGTGCGAGGTTCCGTAAGCCAGCGCCCAAATAAAGATTGTTCCCGCTGCGGGACCCAACACGGCAGGTCTCTCTTGCCAGAAAATAAAAAAATTGTTTTTTTGTTGTACAAAACGGATCAAACAGTGTGAAGATGGATGGAGATCAGTCAAAAAGGTATATTTTATTATGTTTTCTGATTTAGAGCAGCTCGGCAAAAAATTTTACGAAATCTGGTCCAAGATTTTTTGTGTGTTGAGCGATTTTACGCAATTTTTGACATAAGGAAGCATGTAAATGGGTGTAGCTTCGAAAAGAACCGTCCAGGAGAGGTGGTGATTGAGTTTTGGTCAAGTTAGGGTCAAAACCTTCACCATACTACCTAGTGTAATATATTTTTTTTCTAGGAATTCGAATCCAGATGAAGCCAGACGGCTAAACTTTGCCACGAAGACTCGCTGAAGCCAGAAGAAGACACGAAACTGGTCAAAGTCAATGCTGGTTTAGCGTTTTTCTAAGCTGATGTCGCATCGAAAAGGTGAGTTTTACTTGGTTTTCACGTTTTAGATCAAGAAATCTTTGCTGAATGAGCAAGGTAATCTGTCTAGCTCTTCCCAATGATGCTATCTGGTGTGGCGCTCGATTTTGCGACACACCAGATCCAATATATCCTGTGTAATATAATGTTTCCAGGAATTCCGGCCCACTCGTCCCCCATGCCCATAAGCCTGATCAAGAGAGAGAGAGTTCAGTAGCAGATTCTAACGGATTCAACAATAGACCGGTGTTATGTTTATTATATTACGAATGTGAAAATACTTATTACTATGTTTTTTATAATAAAATTGTCCTTCTTCTCCTCACTGTTTGATCTGCAAAACCTTCTTTACCGTCCAAACAAAGTTTCATGTGTTTGGCATAGTCGGAGCTTCAGGTCGGGTTGTCAGCTGAAAAAAATATATTACACTTGACATATTGGATGTGGATCGTGGACTTATGCCTAGCGTGGCGCAAAATCGAGCAATCGCGTTCCAGATAGCATCATTGGGAAGCTAGACAGATTACCTTGCTCAATCAGCAAAGATTTCTTGATCTAAAACGTGAAAACCAAGTAAAACTCACATTTTCGATGCGACATCAGCTTAGAAAAACGCTAAACCAGCATTGACTTTGACCAGTTTCGTGTCTTCTTCTGGCTTCAGCGAGTCTTCGTGGCAAAGTTTAGCCGTCTGGCTTCATCTGGATTCGAATTCCTAGAAAAAAAATATTACACTAGGTAGTCTGGTGAAGGTTTTGACCCTAACTTGACCAAAACTCAATCACCACCTCTCCTGGACGGTTCTTTTCGAAGCTACACCCATTTACATGCTTCCTTATGTCAAAAATTGCGTAAAATCGCTCAACACACAAAAAATCTTGGACCAGATTTCGTAAAATTTTTTGCCGAGCTGCTCTAAATCAGAAAACACAATAAAACATACCTTTTTGACTGATCTCCATCCATCTTCACACTGTTTGATCCGTTTTGTACAACAAAAAAAAACAATTTTTTTATTTTCTGGCAAGAGAGACCTGCCGTGTTGGGTCCCGCAGCGGGAACAATCTTTATTTGGGCGCTGGCTTACGGAACCTCGCACTTTAATGGTTCCATGTTTACGAACTTCTTAAGCAAATATTTTTTATCCCTTGCATAAGATGTTCTACCTGGTTTTTGAATTTTTGCACGGATTTTTGCCTTATTTTATTTTAGGCATATCTGATATTGTTATGGTAAATTTCTAGTTCAAATGAGCTTATTGCGATCCCACGGATCGTAAAATAACACATACTAGCTTATTAATTTTCCTTATAAGTGAAGTTCCCTCACATTTTTTGGTCCACAAAAGTCCGTGCCTAGTACAACATACTTTTTAGCTTGTTTCCGGCAAACAATCCTGTTTCCTCATGTCAAACCGCTCATGAGAGCCAATCTCGGAGCGAACATGGCCCTTCCCACGCGAATTTCGTTACCGCGGCATGTCAAGTGTGCTTGCGCAATCATGAGACACAAACGCCTTTCTTCGCACAATTAGATTTTTATCTGGACTGCCGCCTCTGTTGCGTCCGAAAAGGCCAGTAAACAGATCCAGCCTTCCGGACAAACCCCGTTTCCTCATTTGTTTACCGCGCATAATAATAATCGGTTTGGCGGGGTGCGATGGCATATGGTTGCTTTTGTCTTGGCCCATAATATCTGTACTCTTCAAAATAGCTATTAAAAAAATAAAGCTTTTACCAAAACATACTATTAGGTGTTTTTGGCTTTTTATTGCTGAAATTCATGCTTAACATTTTTGATTATAGCCCTTAGCACTTCGCCACGCCTATACCAAGCAATTTGAGTCCTAGCTACGAATTAAATGGCCGGATTTTTAGTTTGTTTAGATAAATTGCTGCTGCTGTTTAGACAAATTCTAGTTTAGTAGGATGTTTGTTGAGTGACAATTCGATAAGCTCATAGATGAATTTGAAGGAGGTAATAAATCTGGGATTTTTGCCAATTTTTGACCTATAACACCAAAAACGGCAAGGTTTTTATCTGGTTTCAGATAAAATTGGGGCTGCAAAAATTTTTGTCGCTGCTTTTTATAAAAATTTTGGTTTTTTATGATGTTTGATGAGTGACAAATCGATAAGCTCATTGAAGGATTTACAGGGAGCAAACGTCCATTCTTTTTGAACTCTATTTTTCCCGGGGTTAGCGAGAGAAATCCGGATAATGAGTCATCTCGTTTTTGAAAAAATCTAAGTAATCGGTTATTTCCTGGATGATAACCGATTATTCAGATTTTTTCAGACTGTGAACTGACTCATTATCCGGATTTCGCTCGGTAACCCCGCGAAAATTAGAATTCAAGAGGAATGGACGTTTGCTCCCTGCAAATTCTTCAATGAGCTTATCGATTTGTCACTCAACAAACATCATAAAAAACCAAAATTTGTATAAAAAGCAGCGACAAAAACCTTTGCAGCCCCAATTTTATCCGAAACCAGATATAAACCTTGCCGTTTTCGGTTTTCTTGGTCAAAAAATTGGCAAAAATCCCAAATTTATTACCTAAAATCCCCTAATTTTTGCCTGACACGCTTCCCGCGCCTCCTACGCCCTCTGACCTTCGCTTTGTCTCGGGGACTCTTATTCAAATCTCCCCGCGGCACGCCACGAAAAACGTAAGGCAAAATTGGAAATAGAGATTTCGAGCTGCGCCCAATATTTTTGATTTTTTTGAAAGAATGAATATTGTGTTAGATGGTATTGTAACTCTGCGATTTGGAATAATTTAGGGATGAATAGTATGTCAAAAATTACGTTGTTCTCAGTTTCAAGTGTTGAATATAATGGATGAGTCCATCGAGCCCGGCCCATCGCGCTGTGACCCAAACATTGATCTTCCATCTATCGACGTGCCTCCAGAAAAGGTAAGATTTCTTTTTCTTTTGAGCTCTTTAGTGGTACGTTGAACGATGGATATTGTGTGGAACATCCTAGCGCACGTTGTAAAAAAGAAATCTGGAAATTTGACAGTTGAAAAAGGGCACTTGTCAGTTCATTATTGCATCATTTTGCAGGAACTGAGGGAGAAACGCAAGAAAGGGCTGGAGAAGGCACGAAACAAGCTGAAGCAGCTAAAGCAAAGGAAGATAAAGTTAGCAGAGATCAGCAGGAACGTCTGGTTGTATAAAATGGATGAATCCATGGAGCCCGGCACATCTAGCAATGACCCAAACATTGATCTTCCATCTACCGACGTGCCTCCAGAAAATGTAAGATTTCTCTTTCTTTTGAGCTCTTTAGTGGTACGTTGAGCGATGGATATTGTGTGGAACATCCTAGCGGACGTAATAAAGAAGAAATCTGGAAATTTCACAGTTGAAAAAGGGCACTTGTCAGTTCATTATTGCATCATGTTGCAGGAACTGACGGAGAAACGCAGGAAAGGACTGGAGAAGGCGTGAGCGAAGCTGGATCAGAGGAAGCAGACGACGTTTAGAACATTTCAAGGTAAGTTTGTGACGTTGCCTTTTTGATTTTTTGTTTTTCTAGGCCATTGAGTTTATAAGCTTCTGTGGTTATACCTAAAATAATATAATTGATATTTCAGCCGGTCCATGTTGAAGTAGAATGTGAAAGCCGGCATAATGTACCAATGGGTGTGGAGATTGAATTCCGAGTTCAGATTGCATCCGACAAATTCGATGGATTGTCGAAAATTTATGTAATTTTAATTATTCTTATTGGTTTGATGTTTAGGTGGAAATAAAGAAGATTCGATGAATTTCAATTTGGTAGTGGTCTGTTGTAGCAGGATCAAAGCCCTGCTACTCTTGTAAACCTCGGAAGAGCTCGAATTCGGTCAGATTCATCGATTTTGATCCAATTTTGCCTAGTACAATATAATTTCTTTTCTCTTCTTCGATCAATCTAAGAAGTTCGGGGTGCACCTCCTAGATGCCTTTCGATGCTTTCTCGCCGGTTTCACACGTAATTTGTTGTTTATTAGAATTTTGGAATCATTTTTGTTATTTATTTGTAAAGGTTTCAGCGTATGAAATGTCGGAAACATTTTCCCGCGAATTTCTCTATTTCCACTTTTTTCGTGGCGTGCCGCGGAATCATAATATATTCCATTCTTTCAGCGGTTTCATTCTCCCATCGCTTCAAGGACGGAGGGGAAAAAGAGAGCGAGAAAAGGGCCGACCAAAAAAGTTGAGTCGCGTGAGGGCTGAAAAAGGAAGACTATAATAAGAGAGAAGTTGGAATCTGCACCAGAAATTTTGCCTTTTTTTTTGGCGATTTTGAATGTAAGTTGATGAGGTGGGTTCGACGCATTTTTCCTCGGATTTCACCGGATTTTTGGGGGGTTTTATTAATTATTTAGGAAGTTATAGGCAAAAACAAAGCTTGAAGTTAGGGTTCTGGGGTAAAATTGGGAATTTTTTAGTGAAACAATTGGGAAAATTATGTTGTTTTAGGTTCAAGTTGACTTTTTTTGATGTTTTCTCCAATTTGAAAAGCTTTAAGTGCCTAAAAAGGTCTTGGGAAAGAATTGAGAAGTGTTTTCATGTTGTAAAATACAAATTTGAAAAAGATTTTTGTAGTTTCTAGGTGAAGATTTTCAAAAAATACATTATTTTAGGTATAGATTGGCGAAATTTTCATATTTTATTTTTTCCAAGCATTTCGAACACCTAAAATAGCTTTGAAATTGAATTTCCGACCTTTTTATCACGAGAAACGTCGAGTTACATTCCATTTTCATCGCTTTATGTAACTTTTTTATGGTTTGATCTAGTGTGCAAGACCAAATTTCGCCTTTTTTTTGAGCGTTGTAATATTTTTTTTGTTTTCAGATCATTTCTCACGCCTTAATCAAGACGAATACGTGAGAATTCTGGAGCAATGGGCAAATTGAAGGAGGCTTTCCAGCAAATTACGGCCGGAGGATCAGCGGGTAGGTGAAGGTTAATATTGGTCGATTTTGATATCGAAAGCTTGTTATTTTTGCTCTTGATGGGCTAATTATTGAATTTCGAGGCCTTTTGTGGCTTGGGAACTTGATTTTTTACAAATTTTGTCGTTAATTTATGTTATCCTTCAGGTCTGGTAGAAGTATGTGTAATGCACCCGTTGGATGTGATGAAAACCCGCTTACAACTTGGGAGTCAGTTCTACAAGGGACTGGGCGATGTTTTCCGAAAGACCCTAACGGAAGAAGGCATTCGCGGGTTTTATAAAGGCATTATTCCACCGATTATTGCCGAAACCCCGAAAAGAGCGACGAAATTCCTGACATTCGAACAATACAAGCACGCTTTCCAAAGCTTCCATGGAATACCGGAGTGGGGTGTAAGTGTTTGAATAATGTTCTGAGGGTATTTTTTGTGGTTCCAGAATATTTTGACCTTATTTTAGGTAACAAGTTGAAAAATTTTAAATTTTTTTGAAATTTCTTGGTGATTTTGAATGTAGAATTTTAGACACAAATGAAAATGAGATTTGAACACTTTTGAGAGTTTTTTTTTTCGCATTTTCTCGGATATTTTTTATATTATTTTAGGTATCATCTTGAAAATTTTTGCGATTTCTCTCTATTTTTGAATGGAAAATGTCAGAAAACCAAAGAAAATAAGTTAATTCTGCTGTTAGGTAAACGAACAAAATTTAATTTTGCTATTTTGAATTCATTTTTACCTTATTTTACTCAAAATTTCGAAAAAATCGTTGTTTTTAGCAAATTTCCTTGGCTGGAGCGGCAGCTGGGTTAACCGAAGCCTGCGTAAATACCCCATTCGAATTAGTAAAGGTCAGACTTCAATCGGATCGGTCAAAAACTAACGTAAGTTTACGAGTTGATTTTTATTTAGGCGTCAAATTGCGGTTTTTATATTTTTGATTTTTTCTCAATTTTTGTAAATTTTTTGCTTATAAATGCCTTTTCAGATCAAAACAAGTCGTCAGGTGGCGAAGGAGGTCCTAAACACCCGAGGGATTCGCGGGATTTACACCGCTTTGGGCGCCACGATGTACCGAAACGGCACCTGGAATTGTATCTACTTCGGTCTGTATCATAATGTCAAACCGCTCTTGCCCACGGATCCGGTCCAAAACTTGCTCTCTCGAATGGGTGTCGGGTTTTGCGCGGGCACAATTGCATCAGTCGCCAATATTCCATTCGACGTCGTGAAGAGTCGAATCCAAGCCCAAGCCGAGGGAACCCAATGGAAATACAGAAATACTTGGCAGGCAATTGGGCTGGTCTACAAAGAAGAGGGTATCGCCGCACTTTATAGAGGAATCGTCCCGAAAGTCATGAGATTAGGACCCGGCGGAGCGATCATGTTGATAGTGTTTGAGACTGTCAACGATTTCTTGAAGAAAATCATGGATTAGATGTCGGGACAAGTCTAGTTAGAAGCAGAGAATAGAGAAAGAAGTGATTTGTCTTACTATAGGATGAATTTGGAGGTAATTTGTCTTAATGTAGGCGAATTTTGAGGTATTTTTTTCTTACTGTAGGAGTACAGTAGTCTTTATAGCCGTTTGATTTTTTTAGGAAGGTTATTGAGGTTCGGAACTCAGATTTTGATGAAATTTGGTAACAGTTTACAGAAAAAAATTTTTATTTTTTTTTTGTTTGCAAAAACAACCGAGGTTTTTTGCACGAAATTTGGGAATTTTTCCCTAATATCTCGGCTCAAATTACAAAATTCGAGCGAAATTTTTTGGGAAATTATATATGCCATAGGTAACACATACAAAATTTGAAGAAAATCTGAGCGTCTCGCCTCGAGAACTTCCATTTTTAGTTTTTATCGTACAAAATTGATGTCTAAAATAAGGTCAAAACTCGATTGTTTTGTCTAAATTTTCATCTAAATGTAGTCTAAACCACTATCTAGAATTTTATAGCCGTTCTTGGCCGAATATTTTGTTGTTTCTTCCCTAACCTTGCCCCAAAAAATACATATCATTTATGTTGTTATAAACGGGTCAAACCCCAAGAATTTTTCTTCAATAAAGAAAAACGTTTATACATTAAATCAACATATTAACATAATACTGAATCAAAGATTTGTAATAGAAGTTTGCTTTCCAAACAACGGAAACAACAATTTCTTTGTTTCGACGGCCGAAAGTGGAGATTATTAGAGCGGCCGATCCAGTTTGGAGAAATATACGGACCAGTAACTGAAAAAAATATTGGAGAGTGGTGATAAAGATTTAATTTGTTAAAATTGTTTTTTTGAAATTTTAAGTTTTTGTTCGGCAGGGAAATCAATTACTTTTCTAAAAATAACAGAAAATGGCAACAAAATAAGCCTTTTTTAATGGCTAATCCCTGAAAGCCCTTGTTAATTAGCAGTTTTTCCGCTGTTTTTTATTGTTGGGTCGATAAAAAAATAAAAATAAAATAAATCAAAAAAAAAAAATTTTTTTAAATTTTTTGGTGCTTAAATTTGCACTTTTTTCCGTGATTTCGCGAAAATTTAGGACCTACACGATGTTGAAGAAGAGGAAAGAAAGTGGGAACATCATCATTGAGCATCTGTCGACCTGTATGGAAGTGATTTGGAAGTCGCGGTCCTGCCACCATTGATGCATCCGCCGCCGCCAGCCCTTGCAACACGTGCAGACCGCGAACCGCCTTCGGGCATTGGGGAAACGCATCGGCTTTGGGATGTCGTCGTTCTCGCCATTTCGGCCCGGCACCGCCAACGTCGTGGATTCGGGAGTTCCGGCCCGCAAACTGGGGCTCGGACTGCGACTGTGGTCAGCGACATGGTTGGCAACAGCACGAAGTTTTGGCCCCTCCTCGTCGGGCTTCTCTTTATTTTCCGTTTTTCCCTTTAGCAACGCCGCGAATCCGCCCGTCTTTTTGACTCCATTGGCTTCATTACTTTTACCATCGTGTTTGCGCGTTTTCCGGATCTGATTCAACCAATGGCCGAGAACTTTGCTCCCAATTTGCTGTTCGCGCTCCCAACGACTCAACTGGCAGACGATGGCCATCTCCACCAAAGTGCAGAAGATGAAGATTACACTGAAAATTCGAAGAGGTGTTTGATAGAAACTGTTGCAAAAAAACGGCTCCCGCGTTGCTTGCAGCTTACCTAATAATCATCCACACGTCCAGACACTTGATGTAACTGACTCGGGGAAGATGCCGCAACACGTTGCCGAATTGAAACGTCAACGCCAGTAGACTAAACTCAAGTTAAAATAGTCAAATCAATCGCTCACCTCGAAACACCCAACGTGATCCTCGCCGACACTGATCGCACATCGAAGAAGAACCCAACCCAAGAGCTGATCACAGTCAATGATGTCGGGAAATACGATTGAAAAAGGTAGAATCCGTAGCGCCGCGCGAATGTGAACTTGACCTGAGCTCGGTCCCAGACTCCATTCGGATATTCGAGACGTTGATGATCCGTTGACCAGCCAATTAAGTCAAAATCCGGGAGTTCAACGTCTTCCATCATGGTCACTGGAACGTCATGCCAAAGAAGTCGAACCTCGTCAGTATTAAAGGAGTAACTTTCGAAGACCAATTGACATTGAATGGAATCAAAGGGAAACATTTTCTGAAAGAGGGATGATGATTAAAACGAACAGACAAAGTCGATGCTCGCAATGCAAGGTGGGCTATGCTTCACGAAATGGTCGAAAAAGAGGTCGAACACTTCTCCTGTTTTTACTTACCAAGTCCATTTTGCAAGGCGCTTTGACTTTGAGCCGGAAATTCGACCATACCAACCCGTGTTCATACAGAATAACAAAAGTATTCTCCGATGGAGACTTGTGGATCGACGCTTCTTTACTACTGAAAATGAAGGATGCAGAGTTATGCCTTTTTCGTCAGAAAACGATTTTTTTCGGCTTGTAACTTACTTAATAATACACGTATCAGGTGTCCACATTTTCTCCCGAAAATCGCTCTTTAACGTGATATTTGTTGTGCAGACATTCAAGTGTTTGAAGCTTAGTCTAGGATCCAGCCAGATCTCACTGTACATGACGTCTAGTTCGAAATCTCCCGTGATTTCCGAGATCCCCGACACTCCTTGAACGTGCAGCTCGATGGTGACGTTCACCCCATCGGCTTCGGGCAAAAGATGTGTATCGTAATCCTTGAGCAATTGTTCAATAATACTTCCCAAATTCAGGCTGTTCCGTGTACATCGTTGGCCAGCCAGACGCGCCGTTTGCGCCGTTGGAAGGCATATGCAAATCAGCAGGAATAAGGTTAGATAAAACGAGGAGTTGACGTAATAGTTAACGAATTTGACAAGATTAAAGTGTTTGACATTGAATTTAAAGCTGTTGACGTGTACCCGTTGTTCGTCACTCGCTGCAATATTACTGTAGTTACATAGCGGAGGTATGCATTGACTGGCTTCATCACCCGGCTTCTTCATTATTACATCCAGAGGGCGGTGAGGTTGTGTGGAGCGTGCTGAGGCCAGCACCAACCCGCAGTTGTGCGAAAAAGAACAGTTTTTACGGATGCTTGTGTTGACCTGAAATTTTGAGACAATTATTGCTTCTCCGTCATCATCATTCTGCTCTGTCGTCAGCCTGATGCAGAAATGTTTCTTGTAGACGTGTTTTGACGTTCCTTTGCTTCTGGTTACTTACACTGTCAGCTTGTGTACGCGCCGAACTGCCTTTTGCCAAACATCTGAGTGTTATTAGGACGAGTGGGCCGCAGGATTTTCTGCAACACATACGTTGAACGGTGAAGTTGGCAAAAACAACATGAACACTGGAACTCTCGGCGCGAATATAATTAAGGGGCGAGATAGGACAGAGTTCACGTCACGGCAGAGGACGTTTGAGAGCTCAAAATGTGACCAGTTGTTCCTAGTTTGAAGGGCCGCAATATTAGGGGGATATTTTGACAAGTCTAATAGAGGAAGGACTTGTGTTCAGCGAATCGCGACTGAGCTGAAACGGAGACGAGGAGGCGGTTTATATAGCAGTACAGTTAACCGACGATTAGATTTTTTTGCAAGGAAATTTGGGTCTTCAACAATGTAACGCTCAAATCTTGATGATACTCGGCAAAAATCAATAAAAAGCTTTCCGAAGATTTTTAAAGCGGATTTTTAAGCTTCCGCTATGAAGAAACTACGAGATATTGAGGTCAAAAGGTGCCAAAATTTGACTTTTTGGACAATTTATCCGTGAAAAATAATCATTCGTTACAATGAATAAAATGCAACGTTTGCACAGAACACTCAATTTTCTCACGCGTGCTCTTCATTTTTTTGCGCAAATTTGGCAGAGATATGGACAAAAAGTGTTTCTCTTCCCGATCAACTCTCTCATTTTGCGAGTTCTCTCTTCGACAAAGCCATTTGAATATCCTAGCTCCGAATGAAAGCGTGAGTCAGAATTGCCAGTGATGAACATGTGGACTAATGAAATTAGGGATTCAAAATTTCAAGCAATTCTGATCCTCGCGCCTTGAGAATTTCCTTGGAGAAAGTACGTTATATGAGAACTAATACAAATTAAAAACAAGCCTAGACGCAGAACATCTTCTCATTAAACGAGATGTTATTTTCCTTAAAATATACAGAGTAAGGCCATGTTCTTTACTTTGGCTTCTCATCTCCTTCCATGGCCAAGTAAATCAAAAATTCTTTCGTGTGAGAACCTTGGCCAAACGGAATGAAATCCGTTGTTTCTTTCGAAGGTAGAAAATATCACACGTGAGAGGGGTACAGGTTCTTCGATGGAAGATAATCTCACGTACACAGCACATGTTACAAAGGAATGGAAGAAATCCGTTGAATAAATTTGAGGTTGAAAAAATGTTGCAAATCCGCGCTACAATTTTTTTTGGAAAGACAGGCTAACAATGAAAAGTATCTCAAGGAACGACATTTAGCTTTTCTTCAAATTTCGTATTTGAAACCTCCAAAAACCTCACAGAAAGGGTTAGCTCATGCTTTGAAAATCAAGATATTCAACGATCTTTGCAGACGTGAGAAAATGGGAAACAAGAAATCTCGCTTATGAGTTCTAAACTTAATTATGCCGGGTTCCATCAAAATCCGCGTCTCTCATTCCGATGGCGTTTTCGACCAACCAAAAAAAACTCAATGAGAAGAAAGTCGTCTAAACACTGCCATAACAAACTCAAAATCTCGAAACCTATTTACAAAACGTCTGAAACCAACGGTAATCTGTTTTTTACTCATCCCGGGTTGCTAGGAAGTCAAAATAAAAAGTTAGAGGGTCAAAACGCCGCTTCCAAACTCCAAAACAGAGATAAAATTTCGTGGTCAGAAGAGAGAATTCCAAAAAATAGGAGAAAATCAGCACAGATGTCGGGCTCGATTTACGAGGGCTTTGATATTATTCTTAAGAATATTCGGAAAAAATCGACTGAAATCATGTGTAACAGTTGAGACAATGGATGAGAAATGGGTTCAAAAGTCATTTGGAGAGGGAAAACAATGTGGGAAACAATATTGTTAGTAGAATAGTAAAAAGAGTGTTTTTGAGGGCGCTGTCTAGTTTAAAAGTCTTTGAAACTCGACGGAAAGTTAAGATTACGATTTTTGTAGGCACGTACGAGCTTTTTAGTAGCTTTTTAGCTGACGCTATGCAGAATGTTAAGGCTGAAAAAACTGGAAAAAGAGGGATATTGGATATTTTTGACGACTGTTAAAAAATCAATTTGAATTTGTCAACTAAAAGTTCATCTTTTCAGCGGAATACACAAAAAGAAAGAGGGGAAAAACATTTTCCTCTGTGACCATCTATCCACCTTCCCTACAGCCTCTGGGCTTCAAAACGCGTTGAATATTTGCGGCTCGCTTTGCAAATTTCAATATGTCAAAGCTAAAACTTTGAAATATTGAAGCGTGGGTAGCAATTGCCGGCGAAATTTGAAGAAAATTGAGTTGTTGTGTCTGCCTGAACCCAACGCATTAGGAATTCGATGATTTTTCCCGTTCGTAATTTGCAGCGCTCCACAAACCCCACAGTAACCCTGTGATTTTTAGCAGTCTGAAAGTTCAGCTCTCTCAAATCCGCTCGCCGCAAAGTCCCGTTCTATTTTCGATCCAAAAGTTCGCATAAAGTCAGAAAAATTCCAAAAACCGAATTTCCCGTGCAGCGCCTTATAAAGTGGAACAGAAAAACGAGAATCCCTTCCGCGAAGTTTCTGTGTGTCCCCACCACCTCTCCTTTGCCACTTCGCGCACGTTCCTCGAATAATTCGACGTTTAGCACTCGAGGAGGAAAAAACTTTTTGCCAGCGGCAAAATTGCTTGTTTTAATAGAGTGCTAGACGGAATGGGGGGTGAGGGAACAAGTGATGTTTCAAAATTTGAGGGATATTTTGAAGCAACAAAAAAGAATCGAGAATGACAAATGCTGTTCCTTCTCTCCTCAGAATAGAAAATGATATTCGAGAGGAGGGGATTTGGGGGACGGCGAAAAATGGTCGGAGTAATAAGAAAATTCGAAATTAAGGAGCTCATGGTGTGGCGCACAGACCTTGGCGAAAGTTGGAATAAGTTAATGCTAAGGCATTCCAAAACATAAGGTAAAAAAATGTTTTTCTCTGGCCGCTCTCTGCGTTTTGCCTACGCGCTCGGCCGCAAAAATCGTTGAATATCTCGGCTGCCCCTGCAACCTGCGAGCTAAAATTTTTATACCCAAAATGTGTACCTAGTTTAAAGAAAATTTCAGCGTCGCAACAGAGCTACTCACGTTGTTGTTGAACAGCGAAAAATTGCAAAAGAAAGTGCAGAAAAATCCGAGCTTCCTGATAGCTATGTGATCTCTGATTTTTGTCCTCTCAAAACTATACTTCGTTTACATTCCCTGATATCCTTCCAAATGGCTGATAATACTTCCAAAAACCTTATACAATCACATCGTTAGTATTCGAACTCTCCGCAAACCTTTGCATATAAACTTTTCTCCGCACAATTTGGGGTAATTGTGGGGGAAAAAGCGGCCTATGACAACACCCGTTTTTCGCTTTTCAAATTAATCCGTTCATGAGAAAGTAGGGGGCCCTTGTGAATACCAATGTTTCCGGACAGGGAACTTTCGAACTCGCCAAATCTATGCCCAATGGAGCTGAAAAGAACATCCGCGATGTTTGCTCAAATTTCCCGAAATTAGCAATTTTAGCGAATGCAAAAAAAATTTTTGTGGCAAATTTCTTTTTTTTGGGCAAATTGACGCCCTTTTGCCAAGAGTTGCGGTTCTTTGATGCTGAATTCTTGGAGATGGAGTAATAAGCTTACGCGAAAGTTGGGCAAATTTGGATTAATTTTTTTAAGCATAGTGTAACAGGCCATCGAGATTTTTTGATTAGAAACTGTCAAAAAAAATTTTTATTCACGAATTTCAGGCTGTGACATTCAATTTTCTACAAAAAATAGGATTTTAATAGGCGGGAACCGAAAAGTTACAAGTAAAAAAACGTTTTTCATCTCTCCGATTCTCCTGATTTCGCATGGTCTCTCGAAAACGCAATCGTTGAATATGTGGTCTATCGTAGTTTGGAGAACATGCTCACAGTTATTTTCACTGTTCCGAGAAACAAAACCCGCAATCTCCCAAAAAATAAACTTTGTACGACAATTATAACAAGTCTAAAACCGGACCCAATTCCCAGAGGCTGCAAAACTGCAGACGTCAATCTTTGTCGTCCAGAGGAAAAATTAGTTTCCTAGGTATGGGCTGATATTATATTTAATACTGCTTTTTTTTTAGCTAAACAGCATGAAAAAAAATCTCTAGCACTTTTTGAAGCTTTGATAATGGCTATACAAGCTATAAGATGACTATACAAAAATTCTTTGAACAGTAGTAAGAATGTCTTGACATTACCTTGCAAGGTGGTAATGTCAAAACATGGCCCTTCAAAATTCGCTTTTCGCTACTCGAAGACGGCTCTGTTTGCTACAAAAAGAACAAGACAAATTATGGAGAATGCACTTTACGTCAGCATCTGAATTGTTCCTCCTCGCCGTTGACGATAATTGGGTGGACAAAGGAATGGCTAAACACTGTGCTTTCAAGTCTCGCAAACAAGTGTTGAACCTCGGCGATCAAAAACTTTTTTTGAACAAACAAAATTTGATAAAACTTGTCCAAAAATAGAGACAGAGAGGTACTCTAGTCGATTGTGTCCGTACTTTTGCGGACATAATCTATGTCGCCGACGTGTGAATTTTTGAACATTTTAACAGACAGTCTGGCTCTTCAGCGGAGATTTTTTTGGGTAACGATGACCTCTGCATGGCTAAGAATGAATTAATTATATACACCCTAAGTTCTATGAAAAATGCAACATAAAAGCAAAATTCTTCTCGGATTCGTCGTAAACAAGCCCTCGGGCCCCAAGAACTAAAAGAAGAAACACTCAATTTGGCCCCAATTTTTGCCAACTAAATTGACATTGCACTTCTCATTTACATCAGACCACTAACTTGGCAAAACAAGTGTACTAACTAGGGAAGTGTACAAACGAACCCTCACCAAATAGCAAGTGTTATACACCATTGGAAAGCCCTTGAAAAATGGTGCAAGACACCATTTTCATTTTTTGCAGAATGCCTCAGGGCAAAAAATTATAAACGGTTGATTTGTCCCTTAAGTAGTTACAATATCTGCTGTGGGGCATAATAAATGTCATTTCAAAACGCTAAATGATACGGAATGCTACTAGGTTTGCATAAGGATCATTATGA